TGTTTATTTCCAGATAACTCATTTGGTGGCGACTTTGCAATTCACTTCGTCACTGACAGATCTATACTGAGAAGTGGATTTGTGTTGGAGTATTCATTTGAAGAAAAGTGAGTCTCCGTTTGATATTGAAATGGATGTGATCGTATCCAAATCGTCATCTGCACAAGAAACACAATAATATTACATTTTCCATGTTCTTCTCTTGAAGCACACACGTCTTCTGAATCTGAACAGTTGTAACACAATTTATGCAATGTTCTGCTGTTATTAACACTGCCTAGTTTCATTACGTGTAATGTTGTTTCAGTATTCAAAACAACCACTGTAGGTATGTTATATGTGCATCCTAACTGATTATTGACCGTTTTCTTGTGTTAGTGGTGTACAGTAGCACATGGATTAAATGGTTATATATGGATTCGTAATTTGATACCCGAACCTCTTCCTCTACAGACAGCTGTATTCAGGTCCTAACAGCCGCCGAAGGACAGATCCAGGTTCGAGGTAGTGACAATGCCACCTACTCTCCTAACCTCGACTGTCTGTTCACAATCAGGCCTCCAGCAGGTCGGGCGTGGGCTGTTAACATCACCCTGGAGGAGTTCGACGTTCAGAGATATTATTCCTCCTACAGGTAACTATTTCTCCACCTCCTGCAGCATGGACTATATGCAGATCCTCTATGACGGCTACTCCTCCTCCAGGATGTGTGGAACGAGGTCTTCACCCATATCTTACATACGTAAGTGTCCACTGTTACACGATATGCATTAATGTGTTCATGTATGAAAGAGGCAAGGGTCCTGCAACAGTTATGGAAGCGACAGTGTCCCATTTTGGGTTTACATTTATACTGTTTGAACCATAACGTATGTATATAATTATTTGATAAATCTTACGTACATTCCTTTAAATTTGAAATTACGTACGTTGATGGCTTCATTAGAATAGCCTACGATAATGGCCTATAATTAATTATTTGCTTCTTTGGGAAGATCATGTTTCAGGTTGTGACGACGCTCAAACCACAGATTCTTAAACTTGACTAAAGCTTAAATCTCATGTTTAGGGAATCGGCCATGCATAGTTCACAAACTTCAGGAAACAGTTTCGTATTTTGATTGCATGCGTCCGGCTTCATTCGCATTCATTCGTCTTCAACAGGGAATCATCTCCAACAAACGGTAGAGAAAATATGCATGCAGATACCCCTCTATTGTTTCAGACAACATCGTTGATGGCGATCTGAACATCACCTTCCACAGTGACAGTTCCACCCAGAGAAGTGGATTTCAGATCAGATACTCCTACACAGAAAGTGAGTTATACAGCTGGCATTATACCATTTGTATGTGAAGTCTTCAGTGGACACACCATTAGATCGCTGTAATGCATATGTTTTCTTTCACACAGATGTCTGTGACTACGTATTCAGAGGCAACCAGGGTGTGATCGAGAGTCCAAATGACGGCGATTACTACTACCAACACAACATGTTGTGCAGGTACACACTTTATGGGCGGTAACGACCTCTACAGCATTTTCTACAACTTCTCCTATTTTGAAATGTACTACACAAGTGGTTGTAGTAGCGACTACCTTGAATTCCCCGACGGACAACGGTATTGTGGGACTTCCATGAGGAATATATCACGTGAGTTACTTAGTGTTGAGCATAGTACAAGTACCTAATCACAAATCCATAGGATATTTTAAGGAACACTGAATCGAAACAGTGGCGTCAGAGATTTTTTACATGTTGTGTTTATTTCTCTCATGCTGAGAGAATGTAATGAGAACCGTTTGTGTAGGAAGAGGGGAAGCACCAAATTGTCTTGATTTAAAATTATAACATATTACTAAGTAAAAAATGGAAAGCTTCTTAAATTTCTTAGTGTCATTGCTTGTCCAACTGTCGACCTACCAGTCCAACTGACTAATACAGTCACTGACCAATAAAGCATTTGTTCATGATGCACTGAGTTCATTGTGTTTGTTCCATATATTTATCAGATGCAGCAGTAGGCAACACCAGTTTGACCTTCCGATCAGATGCATCACATTCCCGTCGAGGTTTCCGACTGCAGTACAAAGTTATCCCGTGTACGTATTGATACATTTATAATTATCATACATTTATAATTATATAACATTTATAATTATCATACTCTTTGTTCACACGTCAGTAGAAACATACCAGCAGCATTTACAAAACGTGAAAATACATTGTTCTGTAATACTGCGCTTTTGAAAGCAAAACTCGGCATTGCCTTTAATAAGACAGAGGTCATGAAGATTACATTCATTGCAGTTTTCTTAGCATTTGCTTACTACATCTGATTAGTGTTTTCCTTTATTTGTCATTTGCGTTATTTTCATGATATTTATTTGTCTCTGTCAATCAGTCAACTGTTCGGGGTTTACACAGAGGAGAGGGCATCATCTCCGACCCCAACCTTTCTAGCGTGGACTACAGTGGAGACGTCAGCTGTACCTACACATTCCGCATGCCTTTCTACCCTTCATAGCAACCTTCAACCCCATCCAGTTTACTCTCCAGGACCCTGGCACGGGTGGTGTGTGCACGACAGAATATGTTAGTCAGGACGGGGATCGACTCTGTGGCCAGCGCAATGCATCGTGGCAAGGTCAGAATGTTTTGTATAATATGGTGATAGGAGAAATGATTATGCACAAGAAGTTCAATGTTTGGTGTAATATTACATGCTCTCGATTGTACAGTCTTGAATACCTCACGTTTTAAATAAACGACACTTCGATCTGTTTAACGTATGTCTTTGCTGGCGTCGTTTCCAGCAAGAACAGCAGAACAACGTAATGGAAGTGAACTACTTCAGCACTGGTGCAGTGAGGGGAAACTACTCCGTGCTCTACCACGTGACTCCAGGTTAGTACTCCACCAACACTGCTGGGAATATGAACGCTATCGTGGTGTATTGTGGTGTATCGTGGTGTATCTTTCCGCGTGCTAGTGTTTCATTCCTGACTTTTAAAGTCGTGCCTCTTTCCCCTTTCAGGTATGTGCAATGTGACCTACACGAGCCTATCTGGTAGAGTTAGCGGCAATATGTCCAGCGACAGCAGCAGGTCCACCTGTTACTACCGGATACAGAACAGCATGGCGGCATCACAGATACACATCCGGTTGACCTCTCAATCAAGCAGTGTCGCGGATAGTGAATGTAACTCCATCGACTTTGATGGCCAGGAGAGGAGATGTGTCGGCATCGGAGCGTATGGCACCGAGATGACATGTAGGTTCTGGTATTACGGCAATAGCACACATAATCTAGCTCTAATATTTTACTGAACAGGTTAAAATAGTGGTTTATATGTGGTGTTAATGCGTATCGTTTGGACAAATGAATCTGCAGTGTTCAAATGAGACATGCTGGTTCTGTTCTGTGTACTTGTGCAAAGGTTCTTGTTTCATCTTGGTGTTCCTCGCCGTGATTTTGCTGGATGGCATATTGAGCGGTCTAGGTGTCTGACTTTGTGTGCTGGCGATTAGGTGCCTGACTCTGAGGGTGTGGGTTCGAATCCCAGATGGGACTCAACCCAAAAAGTACTAGAATCTGTACTTTACTGAGAAAGTGTAATTCCAAATATAACATATGTTACATACTCATTCACTCTTGTTTGATCTTTGGAAGCGATATAACATGTCACCTACTTCATTTTTAAGAGCATGTGATCACTGGTATTTGATTCAATTTTATGACGCAACAAATGGATGACATTACGCTATCCGTGCAGTATCACGTCAAAGATCAGGGAATCATTTATTCACCCGGGACAATATTCGTTATTCCTCATAGCTCCCAGGCCATTCTCTAGCACATATTCATCATCATTACAGTCTTGTTCTTGAACGTTCATTCGTGGAAGTACTGCACAAATCATATTACCAAAGTGTTCTACTTAGGATAGGATTCCTGCGATAACCCAACGGAATATGAATATACCTTACATAAACTACATACTGTATACTAGAACACTAGGTTGGAAATATATACAAAAAAGTTTTGTTCTTTGGACTCAACATGCTCTTCAATAGTACATGTAAACACGTTAATCTTCAATATATCCTGAGGAAATGAATTCGATCAATATTCTGATGCTGAAACTATCATTTTCCACCAGACCCCTATGATGGCGACTTCACGATAACTCTGCTGCGTACGGCTGATGCGGAACGACCGTCGTTCAGCTTGTACTACAATATACTGCCGGGTATGTATGATTTAACCCAATGGTTCAATGAATATACATCAGCCACCTTGGTGGGATAATGAGTTGGAGGAGTTGAAGCACAAGAAATACTCAGCCCTGAGATCTCATAGGGCTGTTGGAGATAGTATTGATACCTACATATATTATAAAAGGCATTTTAAACTCACATTCACTTAAAGAAAGAAAATTATTTTCAAAGTCAAAAAAAAGACTCAGTGAATCAAGGAATGATCCAAAACAATTTTGGAAAGTGTTAAAATCTTGTAAAATGAATCTTTCAGCTACTCCGGGCATCTCTGTAGATAAATGGTTTAAGTATTTTAATGAACTTTTAAACTGTGTTTCCATTGATGATAATATTGAAGATGCGTGGAGCAAAGTGGATACTGACACTGATATAGAGGATGAACATTTAACTGTATTCAATGAACCTTTTCGGAAGAGGAGGTATTTCTAAGCTTGAAAAATATTAAAATAATAAATCACCAGGACCGGATGGATTAGTCGCAGAGTTCTTTAAAGCTACTAAGAATTACATATCACCTATATTAACTAAACTCTTTAACAAACTGTATGATAGCTCAATTTTTCCTAAATGTTGGGGGAAAGCATCATATGCCCTTTGCATAAATCTGGTGATAAAACAGATCCAAACAATTATAGAGGAATTTCATTGATCAACTGCTTATGCAAGGTTCTAGCCTCAATTGCTGATAATAGACTGAAACAATGGTGTGACAATAATGATACAATTTCAGAGGCACAAGCTGGATTCAGACATGATTATTCAACAACAGACCATATCTTCACCCTTCAAGCTATGGTCACTAAATATCTGTCAAAGCAAAATGGAAGGTTCTATTGCCTTTTTATTGACTTTTCCAAGGCATTGACTCTATTAACCATAAATTACTTTTTATGAGTTTGATAGAAAAGGGGGTAAAGGGAAAATTCCTTAAATTTATTATCAACATGTATTCTACACTGTGCGCTTGTGTAAGAACTGATTCGGGGTTATCACCCTATTTCAAATGTAATATTGGTACCCGCCAAAGATGCACTCTGAGTCCGCAGATTTTTATTATATTCATAAACAAACTTGCTCAAATGCTGGAGGAAGATGGTGGAAGAGGTGTATTCATATCAACTCATATTACTGATGTATTTTCGCTATTATTTGCTGATGATGTATCAACTGTATCAGACACTGCTTTACAGCTCCAAAAGAAAATTAATATTGTTGAAAAATTCTGTGCAGATGCAGGAATGAAAGTTAATCTGAACAAAACAAAATTATTGTTTTTAGAAATGGTGGTCCTCTCCGTTCTTATGAGAAATGGTTTTAAATGGTGAACAAATAGAAGTTGTGAATATGTACAGATATCTTGGGATTGTGTTCACCCCTAAATTGTCATGGACTAAAGCTAAATCCTGTTTAGCAGCTCAAGCAAGCAAAGCTATATTCTCCATCTATAATTACCAGAAACATTTTGGATGTATTAATCACGAGGACATTTTAAGATATTTGACTCCATGATTACAACTATTCTGTGTTATGGATCAGAGATTTGGGGAACCACTTATTGCAGACATATTAAAACTGTACATTTGAAGTTCTGTTAGACTTTTCTCAAAGTCAGCAAGTATACCAACAATAGCATGGTGCTTGAGAGTGTGGCAGACTCCACTGCAATACCACTATACCTCTAGATCAATAATGTACTGGTGCAGACTGTTGCAGCTACAACATCATAGACTCCCTTATCAGGCCTACAGAAATGCTCAAATATCTCGATGATAATAATAAATCTACTTGGGCTTCACATATAAGACAAATCCTTTTTCAGTATGGTTTCAGTATGACATTTATATCCATCTTCAAGCAGCGATTTTATGACTGCTTCCTTCAAAATTAGCGTTCCTAACTTGACTCTTCATCTAAATGTAAATATTATTCACAATTTAAATCTTTACTTAATGTCGAACACTACTTGTCATGTGACCTCCTCCCATATCAAAGGAAAGTTATGGCTATGTTCCGCTGTAACAACTTTAGATTAGCAGTGGAAACCGGCCGCCAAAACAAATACACCCTATGATCAACTTCTCTACCTTTACTGCCACTCTGTTGGTTTAAACTATGTTGAAGATGAATTCCATGTTCTACTCATCTGTGGTAAATATTCTGACATAAGAAATAAATGTTTCACAACCAACCAGACCCACCCTCCAACAATTGAAACTTTTGTGTGTTTAATTACTCGCAACGACATAAATTATCTAAAATCATTAACTACATTCCTCTCCACCGTATTAAAACTAAGACATAAATCCACTACTACTATCAATTGACCCTGTACTCCAATCGTCATCCTATATCCAGCATGTATGTATTCTTTATAATTGCACTATGTTGTATTATGGGCCAAGGGCCTACATTACTGAAATAAAATGTCTGTCTGTCTGTATGTATGTATGATTTAACCCCTGTTACACCATGGTATCTTAACTCACTTTGTAATACTTTCTAAATTTTTACGCAAAAGATCATTAGAGGGGAATTATCTTGTTATCGTTGTTATACTGAATCTGAATTGTCATATGATCCAACAACTGTATTAGAGAATGAACTAATCCATGAAATGCTTCATTGACACACAGCAAACTGCACCCAGCGATTTACAACGGACACGGGTTCATTTGCTAGTCCAGCTGATTCTGACGGCAACTACATGAACGACCTGACCTGCACCTACACAATCAGTGGCGGTAGTTCACCATACATCCTCATCCTCAACTTCATCACCCTTGACCTTCAAAGCTCCTCCTCCTGCAGCAGCGACTACGTGCGATTCAGATACAGAGGTTCCTCTGGCTACACTACCACCACTTCAAGATACTGCACAGGACCTCCCTCACTCAGGTGTAAGTCTTTAGTGGTCCCACCTGGTCATAACACATTGTAGATATACAGGACCTGGCCCACTCACGTGTAAGTCTTTAGTGGTCCCACCTGGACATAACACATTGTAGATATACAGGACCTCGCTCACTCAGGTGTAAGTCTTTAGTGGTCCTACCTGGACATAACACATTGTAGATATACAGGTCCTCGCTCACTCACGTGTAAGTCTTTAGTGGTCCCACCTGGTCATAACACATTGCAGATATACAGGTCCTCGCTCACTCAGGTGTAAGTCTTTAGTGGTCCCACCTGGTCATAACACATTGCAGATATACGGGACCTCGCTCACTCAGGTGTAAGTCTTTAGTGGTCCCACCTGGACATAACACATTGTAGATATACAGGACCTCGCTCACTCAGGTGTAAGTCTTTAGTGGTCCCACCTGGACATAACACATTGTAGATATACAGGACCTCGCTCACTCAGGTGTAAGTCTTTAGTGGGCCCACCTAGACATAACACATTGCAGATATACGGGACCACGCTCAGTCAGGTGTAAGTCTTTTTAGTGGTCCCACCTGGACATAACACATTGTAGATATACAGGACCTCGCTCACTCAGGTGTAAGTCTTCATTGGTCCCACCTGGACATAACACATTGTAGATATACAGGACCTCGCTCACTCAGGTGTAAGTCTTTAGTGGTCCCACCTGGACATAACACATTGTAGATATACATGACCGTTTTCAATTTGAAACGGGCAATGTATTTATAGATTCCTTTCCTACGTACATGTCAAAATATATAGCCAAGATTTCATTAATAGACCTGAGTTTATCATATATTACAGAAATACCTATTCCGGTTGAGCTGAACAAAACAAACGACACAATGGATGTTTATAAAAAAGTGTTAATTTCAAATATGATTATTGTTGAATACCATGATAATAGTAGGAATATTTTACAAATAAGTGCTTATTTTCATCCTACACTATCTGTAAACGATTCACAGTTTAGAATGATATTTAACCTGATCTCATCAGAGAGTACTGACAAGCATTGGCGTTTTCACAGAATTCCGCAATATCGGGGTATTCGCGAGTTATTGGCGATATTTGATTCGTCACAATATTGTTGATAAACAATGACAAACGTCTTTCTGCAAATATAGCTAACGAAGAATGTTCGCAGTATAACGTGAATTTAGGGACGTGGTTGTCGGGACCGGGGATAAATAATCCCTGGTTAGTACTCACATACATGTAGTCGTATTTAGTTACCGATTTGAGACGGTTGGATAGCCTAGAGGTCAAACCGTTTGCTCGTCACGCCGAAGATCCATATGGATACGGTTTGTGAAGTCCATTTCTGGTGTACCCCTTGAATATTGCTAAAATACTATCGTTTAAATCACAGTCTCTTATACACTAGTCATCAATTTCTGATTTCAGACACTGTGTCGAGTGGTGATTTCAACGTATCCTTTGTAACCGATGGTCGTGAAGTACGGAGTGGATTCAATGCAATATACGCAAAACTACCAGGTACGTGCAACTGGATACACCATCATCTTTTATCTGCGATGCAGTTTTGAAGAAGCACAACAGGATAATGGCTTGTTAGAAATGTCAAGAAGCACAACAGGATAATGGCTTGTTAGAAATGTCAAGAAATGCGGCCCTACGTCCAGAATGGTCATATTTGAAAAACATATTTGAATCCATGTGCAATACACATTTCTTAATTGTACTTTGTTATGTGAACGTTCTGTGTTGTGTGAACGTTGTATGTCATGTGAACGTTCTGTGTTGTGTGAACGTTGTATGTCATGTGAACGTTCTGTGTTATGTGAACGTCCTGTGTTGTGTGAACGTTGTATGTTATGTGAACATTCTGTGTGATTTGAACGTCGTATGTTATGTGAACCTTCTGTTTTATGTGAACGTTCTGTGTTATTTGAACGTCGTATGTTATGTGAACCTTCTGTGTTATGTGAACGTTGTATGATATGTGAACGTTCTGTGTTATGTGAACGTTCTGTGTTATGTGAACGTTGTGTGTTATGTGAACGTTGTATGTTATGTGAACGTTGCATGATATGTGAACGTTGTATGATATGTGAACGTTGTATGATATGTGAACGTTGTATGTTATATGAAAGCTGTATGTTATGTGAACGTTGTATGTTATGTGAACGTTGTGTGTTATGTGAACGTTGTATGTTATGTGAACGTTGTATGTTATGTGAACGTTGCATGATATGTGAACGTTGTATGATATGTGAAGGTTGTATGATATGTGAACGTTGTATGTTATATGAAAGCTGTATGTTATGTGAACGTTGTATGTTATGTGAACGTTCTGTGTTATGTGAACGTTGTATGTTATGTGAACGTTGTATGTTATGTGAACGTTGTATGATATGGGAACGTTGTATGATATGTGAACGTTCTGTGTGTGTCCAGTCAGCTGTAACCGGACCTACACAACAGACGAGGGCATCATAGAGAGCACCCCAGGGATGGCTCCTACTACCCCAACAACGCCTACTGTACGTACACTGTACAGGGCAACTCCACCCGGCAGACTCTGCAGTTCACCGTACAGACCTTCTCCCTCGAGTATCACTCCAGCTGCTACTACGACTCGTTACAGTTGGGTTCGACCTCCAGCAGGAAGTACTGCGGATCATCTCTGTCCACCGGCAGGGTTCTCACATGTGAGAGTTACACTATATTTTGTTCGGATTTGATGTTTACAGTTTTTAACTTAAAAATCTACAACACAAACTGCAGCTTATCATATGAGTGTAGAGGAGAACTTTGCATGCTGTTTGCGTGAGTGTGTATAAAGTTTTATGGCACTTTTATATTTCCAGCAATATCACAGGGGCTGGTCTTCAATTATTGTACCCATGTTGGGAATCGAACCAGGGTCTTTTCAGCGTGACGCGTGAACGCTTCAATTACTCGGTTACCATTCCTAGGTTCTATGAAAATGAATATATTTAGAAGCCTTTCTCAAAGTATCGATACCATTTCGTCCACAGATACGTTCACAAACACCTTCACCTTGTACTTCAAGACAGATGGCAGCGTTACCAGGAGAGGATTTGTTATCACCTACAGAAGGTTGCCGTGTAAGTGGTTGCTCTTTAAAATAAAACCCCAGTGTAAAAGGACGCACATGAGTTGCCTGCTTACTTCTGAACAGTATAATGAACGGTGTATTCAAGGGATTTTCAAAGAAGTTCAGTGATCTTTATACCTTGAAGTTGGGGCTTAATTGTATTGACACGCAGGTAGAATATGATTATGGAAATGTTTAGGTAGTAATATAAATGTATTACTAATATTATAAAGTGTTAACTTTTATACTTCACAGACAAATGTAGGTTGAAATGTGACGATGTCGATGCATCTTCCAAAGAAGATCAGATTCTCATTTCGAAAAGCTATTTACACCTCTTTGATGATGTTTTTTCAGATGTTCCCCAACCACCACAACCATGGCAACAACTACAACAACAACGAGGCCGCCAATACGTACGTTCGCATGACACAATCTTGTAAACATGACACCGTCGACACGCCAACAGCAGGTCTTGTGACGATGTTTCTTCAAATAGATACCCACTTTAGTATATTGGCTTTGTTTTGAAGCATAATAGAATATTATGCTTGGAATAGCATTACCAGAAAGTCGGGTAAGGCTAGTTTTATTAGATTTGCTGTCCAGCATATTTGTGGCATCGTAAAAAAAACTTTCAGGTAGTTGCTCAAGCTCTCGTCCATTGGTTTGCTTGGTTCCGACTCGAGTAGCTAGCAGCCGCAGTGCCATAGTTGGAACATTGCCGAAATGGCAATAACAACAATGTCGCCACACCTACTTATCGGGGACCTGTATTGAGGTAACATGTTTTCTCAGCTGACGATCACGTGTAAAAAACATGAGCTTATTAAAATGAAGCGTGCAATAGAATTATGACGTAGTGAGTGGGTTCGGGTAACGCTGGTTTCACCACAATTCCAGCTATATCAAGCCGTGAAGAAGGAAAACAATCTACGGATGAACAACTTCTTTATTATGTAATAAGGAAGGATAACAATCTACGGTTGAACAACTTCTTTATTATGTAATAAGGAAGGATAACAATCTACGGATGAAAAGTTTCTTTATTATGTAATAAGGAAGGATAACAATCTAGGGATGAACAACTTCTTTAGCTTGTAATAAGGAAGGATAACTATCTATGGATGAACAACTTGTTTATTATGTGATAAGGAAGGATAACAATCTACGGATTAACAACTTCTTTATTATGTAATAAGGAAAGATAACAATCTACGGATGAACAGTTTCTTTAATAAGTGATAAGGAAGGATAACAATCTACGGATGAACAACTTCTTTATTATGTAATAAGGAAGGATAACAATCTACGGATGAACAGTTTCTTTAATAAGTGATAAGGAAGGATAACAATCTACGGATGAACAACTTCTTTAGCTTGTAATAAGGAAGGATAACAATCTACGGATGAACAACTTCTTTATTATGTAATAAGGAAAGATTACAATCTACGGATGAACAACTTGTTTATTATGTACTAAGGAAGGATAACAATCTATGGATGAACAACTTCTTTATTATGTAATAAGGAAAGATAACAATCTACGGATGAACAGTTTCTTTAATAAGTGATAAGGAAGGATAACAATCTACGGATGAACAACTTCTTTAGCTTGTAATAAGGAAGGATAACAATCTACGGATGAACAACTTCTTTATTATGTAATAAAGAACGATAACAATCTACGGATGAACAACTTCTTTATTATGTAATAAGGAAAATAACAATTTACAGATGAACAACCTCTGTCTTACACAATAAAGAAGTTGATCATTGTTATCCTTCCTTACTACTCAAGTTCTAAATGATTCCGAAAGAAGACATCAAGGCTTGTTACCTTGATTGAAGAGGAAACCCCAAGTGATTCAGGTTTCAGACATTCACTTTGTTGAAATCAACGTGCACCGGTATGGTGCTGAAAACCTTGAAACAAAATCGGGGCAAACGGGGTTCGCACCAGCGATCGTACATCACTGGATATCCAAGGGAAGCAACTCTGCAGAGCGTGTTACGACCTGCTACCCGTGCGCCCTTATGTATTAGGATAATGTAGTTTTGCATCGATGAAGGTGTAATATAAATAATCATGATAACAATAGTGTGATGTGTGTGAGGATATGTTCAGTTGTTCTGTAGCCATAGCTACTCTGGTGGTTGTCATGCTGACGTACTTTTGTCATTCTGTATTTCAGCCAACTGTAATGCGACGTTCACCGCAGCCAGCGGCCAGCTTCGTAGTCCAAACTCCCCAACTAACTACACCAACAACGTCTACTGCCGCTACACGTTTGTGGGAAGCGGACAGACCCAGTCTATAAGTCTGGACTTCACCAGCTTTGCTGTGGAAAACCACGCTAGCTGCAGATGGGACTGGGTCATCATCAACGGTGGGAACAAGAGATGTGGCTTCACGGAATTCACCAGGACCTGTACGTACTGTGATGAATATACATACCTTGCTGGTTATCGTTACTTCAGATGTAGTGTCGATCTGTTCAAGGGTCTAATCTCTGTACAATCCGTAGTCGTCACGGGTTTCGACTTTGTAAGTCAATTACACATGTTATATATAGATATTCCAAAATAGTTTCTTAGTCAACAACTTTATGAAACATTTGTTCATATTAAATGTCATAGAAAAATTATCATGATTAAATTGGCTCCAGACACATTTTCTTATTATTTTACAGATACCTTTGTTGGGAACTTTACTGTTGAATTCGAACAGATGGAAGTGTCACCTACGATGGTTTCGTAGCTAACTACGTTGTCAGTGACGGTATGCACAGAGGATCGAACTGCTATATACAACATGTTCAGGACTCCACTCCATGATATCCGATCATTATTCAATTATTGAAATATTAGAGATAAGGTGGTAAATTGTTTGATCGAGACAGTATGGTTATTTGAAGAGATGCGAGGTAGTGTTGTTCTCAAATGGGGGCATTCGTGTGTTTCAGCTCCCAACGCTACAACGCCCGCTCCCAGCAGTACAGGTAAGGTCACTGTTTACTGTCACAATGATGTTTTTAAAATATATGCAGGGAAATTTAGACTATTGGTTTAAGCAAACATCAATTATTGAATCAATTCATCTGTTGTTCCAGCGACATGCACGGCAACCTTGTCGTCATCATCTGGCACCATCATGAGTCCCCAGGTGGCGGCAGCAACTTCTTGGACAACACCCGGTGCTACTACACGGTCACAGCGACATCCTACCCGAGAACCATTACCTTCACCTTCACAACCTTCCAGCTGGAAAGTCATTCCACCTGCAGTTATGACTACGTCCAGTTTAACAGCGGCATCAAGAAATGTGGAACGATCTCCAATCTCGTGTGTGTAAGTTCTCCAGATCATCGCGGATCACATGTTTAAAGAATGTTTAAAGAAGGTCTTTACTTGTCAGTGATGCGTTATCATTTTCTCAGCTATTTTGCCCTTTGCACAACGGTATAGTCACGACTGGCTGTTCTCAGACGTTGACATCTTATTATTCCTTGAACATACATTAGATAACGGAGAGGGTTTAGATTAACCGCTAGAGCTGATAGGTCCGTCTCACAGGGCGACTGTAAAGCTGCCATAGTCATGGATTACTTGTATAAAGGAGTCAGTGAATCATTCCTGTTTTAGACAATCAAAACGGAAACCATACCAAGCGTGAGCTGTCAAAGATGGCTGTGACATCTATACAATCTCAATAATATCCTGTTATGACCTCATGCGGTTGTCTTAGATTCCAGTACACTGATCTCTACCCCTCCAATCTAAACACTTCGCTCGCATATCACCTTAAAGTTCATGAGTTGCTACAAGGCCAATTATCTAGATGGTCAACATCAGGATTCAACTGCTACACGTGATCTTATGTACAAGATTACAGATTTATTACAGTATTTATTTAAGACGTTAAGGTCATATGCCATGTATGTGCTTTGTGTACGGAGCTGCAAAATAACACCCGGTATGCATGATGTAAGTCATATTAAAGTGTGCATGCTGGTATTTAAGTTTCTGAACAATACCAACTCCAGAAACGTTAGTTGGAATTATTAACAAAACATGCATGCATTAAGTTGACAGCGATGTCGTATTACTATCCAACGCATGCTCCGCCAATTCACATTATCAGCCATTGAGGAAACAGTACTTTGTTAGTGGAGTGGCCAAACCATGAACCACAAACCACATTGCTTATGTTGCCCCTCAAATACCAAAGGAATCAATATTTATGCAACAATGTATATTCCTTTCATTGATACAACTGAAGAACCATATGTGACAGTCAGCTACTGGCATCACTTGTTGTCTTAAATATATATTCACTGTCTACCCTGGCCGCAAAGTTTGTTGGCATTTGATACCATGGACTATATATCAAGTGAGCAACCATCTCTATGTTCTACAACTTTGTTTGTGATGTATTCCTGTGTGAAATTCCAGATACTGACACTATGTATAGCCAGTACCGTGTCACCTTCTACACTGACGGATCTGTGACTCGCCGTGGCTTCGTAGCCACCTACCAGATCAGCGATGGTAGGTATCATGTGTATTCTGACACCACTCTGTATTTGAACTTACTTCCTGCTGTGCATTAGAGCATCTCTCTGTCAGAAAATGATAGGAAACATTTTGTAGACTAAATGCTTTTCAACATGTACACCATTTTTTTTCCCGTTCATTTTAATTTCATTTGATATTTTGTACCACAGGGACCATATGGACATATTATACACATACATTTTCATAATTAACTGACTGAGTTTGGTTTTACGCCGTTTTTAGCAATATTCCAGCAACATCACGGCGGGGAACGCCAGAAATGGGCTTCTACACATTGTACCCATGTGGGGATTCGAACCCGGGTCTTCGGCGTGACGAGCCAACGCTTTAACCACTAGGCTACCCCATCTCCCTTTTTCCTTATTAACGGTTATCATGAGACATGACATGCATTGTCCTTGGAGTAAGAAGGGACTGGATAGAGCTTGAATGTGCATGATATGCATGACACACGTCCTCCTGTAAAGTAATGACACCCATGCAATCGGCATCATGATAAGAACAATATTTTGATCGACTTTCGTTATCAACTTTGAAATATTTCTACATATGTTGTTAATCACCATTGTTCGTGACTCTCAATGATCAAACACGTTGAACTATTCGTCGCAAAGCGTTTTGTCTCAAAAGCTGCGATAATCGAAATGAAACGTTTTTGAATTCATGAAAAGAGATGGTTTGTTTAGCACTTTGTGTCTTTTACATTCAAACTGTTCCTCTTCATGACCTTTGCTTCTGAAGATCAACAGTACAAAACACCTTCTGCAAGTCATTGGTCAGAGCGACAAAGTGAAGGTTTTCGTTGACTAAGTTATGAACAAATTAAAAATTGCTCATTGTTCAAATTTCAGTCATTAATGCAGCAAGCACCACCCCTCCCAGCACGGTTCCATCAAACAACGGTGAGTGATGACCTTGACAATGACCCTAAGGGCCGTGATCATCTGGGTCTGAGTTTTCATCTCTTGTAAAGATTCGCAAGACTGGTACAGTACAAAATGGGTGTAGCACTTACTGAATTTACTTCCTGAATCTCTGCAGGCAGGATGAGTCTTGTTAATGTGTTGCAGCTGTCACCGTTGTAATTTTATAATAACGACGTCGTTCTAATCCTTCCTAGTGAAAAAGTATGAAAATAAATCTTGTAGATGTACATAACGTGTGTAGTTTAGTCTTGATTAAACTTATAGTATGAGTCACATCTGAAACCCTTTGCCAGCACATTAAGTGGACACAAATAACTACAACATTATGATAGCAGTCTCAAGTACATGGTCACCTTGGGTTATACTCTACTCTTCTTTGTCTATGGCCATTGCAATTTGTCACTTAAGAGAAAGCATAGACGGAAGTGTGCCTTAAGGTTTCATTGAAGTTCATCAAGCCAACAAACGGTTTCTTGTCCAGGCATCTGTGGCACTACCTTGACGTCTTCCACGGGTCGCATCTACTACCCAGCCACCGCCACCTACAACAACAACATGTTCATCATCTTTTTTCCGCGTTCATTTTCATTTCATTTGATATTTTGTTCTCAGGGGACTATATGGACATATACGTTTATACATTACTGTTTCATAGTTATTGGTTATTATGACACAAGATATTCATTTTTTCCTGAAATAAACATTGTTGAAGAACTCTATAGAGCTTCAATGTACTTGATAGACGATGTTTTGATCGATTTTCGTTACCAACCTTGAAATGTTTCTACATATCCTGTTAATCACCAATGTTCGAGACTCTCAATGATCATGCATGTTGAAGACAACTTATTTTGGATTCATGAAAAGAAATGGTTTGACACTTTGTCTCTTTTTATCTTGATATTGCTTCTCCTCATGACTTTGGATTCTGATGATCAACATTTCAAAAATACCTTCTGCAAGTCTTAAGTCAGTGCGACAAAATGAAGGTTTTCGTTGACTAAGTTAAGAACGAGTTAAAATTGCTCGTTTAAATTTCAGTCATTAATGCAGCAAGCACCATCCCTCCCAGCACAGTTCTTTCAAATAACGGTGAGTGATGACCTTGACAATGTCCCGAAGGGTCGTTATCATCTGAGTCTGAGTTAAGTAAACTTTTCATCTCTTCTAAACATTCACAAGATAGGTACAGTACAAAGTGCGTGGAGCTCTTACTGAATTTACTTCCTGAATCCCTGCAGGCAGGATCAGTTTGGATAATATGTTGCAGCTGTCACCGTTGTAATTTTATACTAAAGACGTCGTTCTAATCCTTCCTAATGAAAAAGTATGAAAATAAGTATTGTCCATGTACATAACGTATGATGAAACTTATAGTATGAAGCACAGCTGAAACCATTTGACGGCACATTAAGTGGACACAAACATCTACAACATTATAATAACAGTCACATGTACATGATCGCATAAGGTTATACTCTTCTTTGTCTATGGCCATTGCAATGTATTACAAAAAGAGAAAGCATAGACGGAATATGCCTTTAAGTTTCATTGAAGTTCATCAAACCAACAAAGGTTTCTTGTCCAGGTCTCTGTGGCACTACCTTGACGTCTTCCACGGGTCGCATCTACTACCCAGCCACCGCCACGTACAACAACAACGTCCGATGCCAGGTGACCATCAGACCTGGGGGCTGGACAGACGTTCAACGTCACCTTCACAGACTTCGACATCGAGAATCAGTCCTCCTGCAGCTACGACTCTCTAGTATTCCGGGTGAATGGAGTCGACTCTAACAAGTACTGTGGTCGCAACAGAGCTGGACTCACCCTAAACTGTACGTAGTTCGTTTCTGAGTACGGGATTTCTTTTCACGTTTGTACCTGCAGATCATACCTGTTAAATGCATTTGCTTTGCTAACAGTGTGACTGTAAAATAAGGAAAGTACTCCGTGTGTACCTTGTACAGAATAAGTGTTAACCTCACTGCTGTCCTTGTAAATATAAGAACAGGACAATATATATATTCTGCTTCAAGGAGAGAGTCAAATAGGACGTTGTAAATACATCATCCCTTTAATGTGAAACTTGTCCAGGTGAACACGTTTTCAAATGTTGCAGTTCCCTACACCAGTGGTGACATCGTGGTGGACTTCAGAACTGATGGCAGCGTCACTGGGAGAGGCTTTGACCTCAACTTTCAAGTGGCCTAGGGTAAGGTGACTGTATGTGTGAATGAAATACTGTATTTTACCACTGTTTGAAAGTAACTCAAAATGAGTCCTTTTGGTTGGACACAGAGGTCACTGTAAAGTAAATACAAATACTGTTACCCTTGTACATTTCCCTAATCTTGCAGATAGTTAATATTCCAGGACATTGACAAATGGGAGTGTCTTTAATTTGCAGTACCTGTCGAATTGTGCTTAAATGTATTGTTTTTAGACGTGTATCAACGATTTAGTAATCAAAATTTGATAGTTGGTGCAAGTAGTGACGCTGATAATTATTCATTCTTATGTATATTTGAGCGCTGCGGTCATACTTTGTCTTCAAAACCCCACGGTGCTTAAATAGGGTAAATTGACCTAAAACCACCCGTTTATTAAGAACAGAGCCAGCGACAATCCTCCCATACTGGGCTTACACGACCTAATATATCTGAAAAGGAATGTTAAAGCGGCGTAAAGCACGAATCAGTCTGTATATGAGTTACACCCATGCCTGAGACCTTTATTTTGGTTTATGTAAATACATAACATTCTAATTCTTTCAGGAGGACAAGATGTGTTTTCCTGTCTGATGGCTGCCTCCGGAGTCGACTGTTTCCCGGTGTTGCTGCCACAAACTGCCATGTAGAAATAGTTTTTTTAGCTTTTCACTTTTCTTATTAGCAGCAGAATTTCTGCATTCGTTCATCGGACAAGTTAACGTATTGTTTGAATTTTAAGCAATCCGTAAATGCGCTGTAATGTTGCTGGAGTAGCTAATACTGGATGTCTGGTCCAGAAAGCGGTTGTTTACCGCCTATAATGTGATATGTTTTTCAGCTATCTATTCATTGATGATAGGGGGCGGTGGAGGAGCTTAGTGGTTGAAGCGTTCACTCGTCACTCAGACGACCCGGATTCGATTCCCCACATAGGTACAATGCGTGAAGCCCATTTCTGGTGTCCCCCGCCGCGATATTGCTGGAATATTGCTACATGCGGGATGAAGCGTTACTCACTCACCATCTGATGATACAGACTTATTATTCTGTTGCATTGACATTTTCTTGAGACCAGTCAATCAAGATTGTGTTTCACGAATATTGATGAGACGAGTCAGTCAGTCAAGGTGGTGTTTCACGAGTATTGGTGAGACGAATCAGTCAGTCAAGGTCGTGTTTCATGAGTATTGATGAAACAAGACAGCATACAAGACGCACACCATCAACCATCCAGGGTTAACATGTGCACCACTAACGCCGGTCTGATAGCAATTAACATATGTAAACTATCCATATTTAATCAGAAATGCAGATATCTATAATGGCTGACCCTTTATTTGCTTTTAGTTTTGTCATAGCTTATATTTGATATACAAATGTATGTAAACTGATGCTTTGCTTGTCTCTCTAAATTGCAAATCCACGATTTACTTTTTCCTTAAAGTCAGGCCTATTTCCTATTTTCCATTATAGAATGAGTGAGTTTGTTATTTCATACTTATATCGTGGCAGTAATTCTTCTCGTGTTACTTTAAGAATTCCCTTCTATTGGGTTTATAAGTTCCCCTTGTTACACAAACTATCAGTGATCATTAGTTCTTTCTACCAAAGTTTCACTTTCATTACTTGAATCCTGAGAATTATGTTAACCTCTTAATGAACTTGAATGAGATTGGAAGAACATACTTTTCATGGAGCGATATTTTAGGTTAGGTTTGTAAACTGTTACTCATGTATTTTCCACACATATATATCTCATGTGCCATATGGATGTACTTATAGCATGTCCAGGACTCCAAAGTTCCACTCTAACGCTTCATGGTTTGTGTCCAGTATGGAACTATCGCTATGTGATGGATGATTCACATCAGCCCTGATGCCAATTTTGCTACACTATCACAGGCAGATTGTGGAGCTATTTCGAATATATGTTACAGTCAGATTGTGAAATCAGTCATTTCGTGGAATGACCAAAAATTTCAGTAATTTCGTGAAAAGACTAAGAGTGTCAGCCATGTCGCTGGATAATGGTATATCAGGATCACTTAACTAGGTTTTGCCTATTGAGACCACTGTCAACTAAAAGGGCTGCTGAAGTACCTTGACGATAGGTGCCCCAGAGATCCTCCAATCTGATAATGGATCAGAGTTCACGTCTCATGTTATGACAAAATTCAACTCGTCTGGCCAGAACTAGCACGAGTACATGGTACGCCAAGCCATGCCCAAAAGCAAGGATCAGTTGAAAGGGCAAATGGCGACATAAAGGACATGCTGGTAGTGTGGATGAGTGATGAAAAGACTAAAGACTGGCGACATCTTATTCATTTCACGAAATGTCATTTCACAATCTGACTGTAACATGTATTCACCACATTGTCAATGGGCACTCAGTATATCAATGGAAGCTTATCATACGGTGATATTTCACTCTCGTCATTATTCCGATACTTTGCTATTGTTGATGTTTATATATTTGTTGTTCACATTTTAAGGACCTAGTTGACAGAAATTTGACAACAGTGTTTTCTCCTTAATCACTGATGATTTTTATTCTGTATTGTGCAGCTATTTCCGTTTTATTACAATAAACACGTGCTTCAACCCAATGTATTGCTTCCATGTTCGCGTACATGTATAGTTAACCTAACTACGGTATTTCGGTTTGAATATCACGCATCCAGTGTTACAGCAAAACATACCAGGTAACTGAAGGGGTTCAGGTTGGCTTGGGTACATCTAGGAAGTGTCAAGAGTAGGGGCCTTCTTGTTGGTGTACAGGCTGATAGGGATTCATTATCATATTTATCAGAATATATATCTTTTATTAATATCTTTTTATCAGAATGACCCAACAACCATACTACTTGTCTTCTCATAGTCCCTGATAGGTAATATTGTCCCGCTCCACCCAGCCCCAGCTCGTACATGTAGTTGACCGTAGTGCTGGATGAACGTAGTAGACCGTAGCTGACCTTAGTTAAACGTAGTTAGACGTAATTAAGCGGAGTTCAACGTAGATCACCGTTACGACCGCACTTTGAACTTCAGTATACCCATGAAAATATATCTGAGGTTAGCTTGAATGCCAAATACACTGAACTGGGGCTCTTGCCTTACCTAAATGGTTCTTATGAGTTAACAAAAGCAGAATAGAAAATAATATTAGTGTTCCAAACCTACAATGCGCATCTTTACCAAAATCACGGGTAAAAAAATTGTTACGATACTCATGATAGGTTGCAGTAGTTTTCAAAACAGGCTGTATATGTGATACTGCCTTACGCTTGAATGAGAAAATCTCCATGTTTCAATTGCCATACACACATATTTCAGTAAAATTTCAATTTCAGTAAACAGTGAGAAACAGAAGGTTTCTTAATCATGCCTAAACTTTTAAAAACATTACTTATATGTTCTGTTTATTTATTAACTTTTGCCGAGAACTAGCTGAAGTTCCTAGAAAGGTATCTGTACCATGTCAATATTATACAAGGGAATGAGCAAAAATAGAACCAGGGAAAATATATATATATATTGGAGTCAAACCCACCACCACAGGTTTCTAAGGGACGTAGCTCAGACGACTGTACCAACTCGTCCCCCCAATGTGTTAGAGGACGTCGCACCGGTGCTGCCAGCAATGTTTCACACGACATAGTAACAGTTTTATGACGCAGCATCACGATCACGAGGGTTGTTGTGACAATCGGAAACTCAAACTGGATTTGGATGTATTGATATTCATTGATTCGTGACAGAGTTTATCTGTCCATGAACTCGATCTAGCTGTCGTGACATTCCACGAGAGTCCTGGGTTCATGGGGTGAAAGAGCAGTTTTCACATACAAACTGATAATAACTAATGACTCCAAACGGGTTCTTTTCGTTCACCCAGCAGCATAAGGGGATTAACATTTATGTTTGATTGATTGTCCAAATACTGTTCTTCACTGTGACATATGGTCCTGCCAGTTGGAAGATTAGTGACCACAACTCACTGATTGGCTAAGTGAACTGTATGCCAAATGGTAGAGGAGGGCAATACTTATTAAAGGGTAGAAGATTTAGTATCAAGAAAAGCAACTTCTATCAATTCCTTCCTCCCTCTCTCTCTCTCTCTCTCTCTCTCTCTCTCTCTCTCTCTCTCTCTCTCTCTCTCTCTCTCTCTCTCTCTCTCTCTCTCTCTCTCACACACACACACACACACACACTCACTCACACTCATTGAGAGCCATCCCTACATCTGCAAGAGGATAGACTTTTTCAAGAATTATCTCGATCCACTGACAACAGCTGCAAATCCAAAACAACAGCTGCTGAGTGAACGCTAATGAGGCCTTCAAAGTAACTTCAGGTTCACATAATCGTTCTCTCGTTTTACTACACTGTGTCAAGAACGGATCGCTAAACACTCGGATAATGTACAACATGCCTATGTGTATTTCCCCACTGTTGTCCCTAACCGAACAATAGATATCCAGCCAAGATTTCACAATCTTGCTTGTATATTAAACCATGCTTGTTAATGTGTCATATAAAACGTTGCAACACTGCGGGATTTCTGTCATGATAACCTACAAGCTGTCCTTGGAGACCGCGCACGACAAAGAACTGAACAGTGATATGACCTGTCAGTATTTTCGGAAGACACGTCATCCTATCGACCTGTCTCCACCTGCACGGGAGCAACGTCACACCTGTCTATGCTCCAAACGATCTGTACATTCCCGAAGTCATTGAAAATATAGTCTTCTTTTCCATATACTATCGATTAATCCACATCAAAGGGCATTCTTACGCAATTGTCCCACTTGTAAATACACAATGGATTTATCTATCATACCCGTCAGTAGAACCGATGGCCTGAACTAATACCATCCATCGTTCCAAAGTTTACAGTCTTTCACAGCGTACCCAGAAGCCCTGTTAATCACTGTTATCCCCAGCAGTATGGTAGCGGGAGAGGCGGTTGGGGCGGAGGGACGGGATGGGACGAAGAAAACGCAGGATTATTCCCTGACACTATATCTAGCTTTATGGACTGACTGGTTATACTCTACACATGGCACAGTACACACACACACTAGATACTGCGTACCTCAAACTACACCCCTGCACTATTCACACTAGACACTACTTAATTAAACTACACACTGCATACTGCACACTTCACGTTCACACTAGGCGACACGAAATACATAATATAGATGTCACATGACTACATGTCATTTTGACGACAAACGCTTCACTCTAAGCACGACATAAATGTATGAACTGCACCCTCGTCCTTGATTTCTAGGAATTGCTTGAGTAGATAAGTACTGAAAAGTCTCTCTACCACTCTCCTCCCCCTCTCCTCGCCCCTCCCACCCAACACACACTCTTTACTGTTGTCGCGGCTACTTCCTGGTAAGAGATCAGGAGCTCATATATATACTGAACCATCACGTAACTTTCCATAGGGTATCTCCTTGGGGTATTAAGTTTGAAGCAAAACTCAGCTTCGTCATACAATGTGGCGTGTTCATCATAGAACTGTAATAGTTAGTAATGCTGGTGTCAATGGTTGCCTAAATGTTACCTAAATGTTGTTAGAATAATTATGGTCAACAGGGTGATCAATCTGCGAATAATCCTTTCTCAGGATGATCTTCGTATTGATTAGTGTCAATTTGTCATATTGGCCGGCTGGACGTCACCACGCATAACACATCTCGTCGGAATGCACACGGAATGAACACTTGTGTAAGGTGCATGTGCACCTCAGTGAGAGCACACATGTGACATGACCGCCTCCGTGGTGTAGTGGTTAGAGCGTCCGGCCGGAGAGCGGAAGGTCGAGGGTTCGATCCCCAACCGCGTCATACCAAAAGACATTAAAAATATGGTACTTGTTGGTCCCTGTCTGGCGCTCGGCATTAATGATTAAATCAAGGACTGGTCGGCTCGGAGTCAGTATAATTTGTCTGAGTTGGGTATTCATGCTTCACTGCGGCATGGTATCTCAGTGGGCTAGCACTATAAAACCAGCTTCAGTCTGGGCTAGTACAAGCAGCCGCACCTCACCTCACCTCACCTCACATGTGACATGAGTGTAATACGGGACAGTGTTTCAGTGCAACGTGACAAATAGCTCGATGAATAGTGAAGTAACAGATTTGACATTACGAATCAGTACACATCTGTAGCGGTTGCTCACAATCCTCAGTCTACAAGTTCGAGACCGATTTCTCAGAATTCCACTCTTCCTATAGCGATATGCTATATAAATGTATGCCTATGATAATTTCCCGTTTGCTTAGTGGCAAAACGTTCCTTTTCTGAACGATCATGATATCTGTGACAGACCTAAAGCAGACTACAACAAAGGGCGAGGCATGCGGCATGACGTCATCTGTTTTGGGGTGAAATTTCACACCATACCATCCCGCGTTTCAAAAGTGAGACACGATGAACAAAAGCATGTTGTATAGTCAAACCTACGATGTCTCACGTGTGAGTTAACTTATGCACAATGCTGTAAATGGATATTACCGAGTGCAGCGTGAAACATCAAAACAGACAAGTAGATTTAAACACCCGCATGTGTAGTATAAGATATAAGATTTGGCACAGCATATGCTTATTGCACAAGCTCTAGGACAATGAGGTGGTACGTCTAGCAGGGCGTGGAGTCACCCCACAGATGACATGCTTTCATTGCTGACGGGGTTAACCTCTTTGGTCATGTGGACAATGATCAGAAGGTCTTCGGTTTAAATCCCAGCATGGGAAAAGCAAATGTTTTAGTGAAATCACAGTAAGAGACATTTACAAGGGTAAAATGGCATGTATGTGTTTGACGTGTATTGTAGGCGACAAGGATGTAGCGATATACATAGGCCATACATATATCATTGGCTAATACTACAACGTGACAGTTTTCTGAACATTACAGAGGGAATCTATTCATGTACATATTGTCGAGGAATAATATTTGGGTTGTCCATATAAGTAGGCGATTTCTTGTGTCAGCAAATTTGTCCTAACGGATATCCCTTTCTGTGATATTCAAACAGCTATAATATTTTACAGATTCGCCTTTTCCGTATTTGTGATATGTAAGTTGGTGAATGAGTGAGTAAGTTTTACGCCGCACACAACAGTTTTGTAGCTATATGGCGGCGGTCTGTAAATAATCGGGTCTGGACCAGATATTCCAGTGATCAACTCAATACTGGGAGTGTTAATGACAGACCAAGGTCAGGTCGACCTAGAGTTACCACCGCCGCCCAAGATCGATACATCAGGTTGAGACATCTTCGTTCAAACATCACGGTCGCATCATCCATAACAATTCAAAACCCTGGACTACGCCGAATCTCCGACCAGACAGTGAGCAATTGATTATGGGAAGCCAGACTTTTTGCCAAAAGATCACTTCAACGTCATATCGACCCCTTAATCAACGTCAACGGTCTTTGGAGCATGACAATGCTCGACCTCACGTTGCACGTGTTTGACAGGACTTCCTCCAACAAGACAATGTACAGGTGTTACCCTGGCCTTCTCGATCACCTGATTTGTCCTCCATTGAACATCTATGATATACTCTTGATCGACGCTTGCGCCAGCGTAATCCGCTACCTCAGAGACTACAAGAAATGTATACAGCATATCAGCAAGAGTATCAAAACATTCCTCAAGAAGGCATTCGGCATCTGTTTTCTTGTATAGGTCATCGCTGCCAAGCTGTTATCAATGCTCATGGTGGTCACACCAGAAACTGACATTTTACTCTGACCAAGTGGCTTTAATAGCCCTCACTGGTTTTACCAAACACTTCTGGATAATCGAGTTTTGGAAATTTGTAAAGTGATGATTTTACTGTAATTGAGCAATGATGTCATGTTTGAATCAATTGTGTGCACTCAGTAAATAAACACCAAATCAGCATGTCAAGTTTCTATTTTTGATGAGTATATTTAGACGAAACAGAACTCTAGTGTGTAAAACCCAATATTGTAGGCTTAGAAATAAACATAAAGGTTTATGTAATATACGGTAAAGTGTTACAAGCTCTTCTGAGCATATGGAAAACATTGAAATCATGTGTCAGGGTACAATCCGAGTTAACGGAACATTTTAATTGTCCATTTGGTTTACGGCAGGGTTGTATGTTGCGTCCAATGTTATTCTCATTGTCTATAAATGAAGGTTCTGTAGAAATTACTAATTATGGTAAACATGAAGTCCAATTGTTTACAGATGTACTTGAAATTCTAATGTTGTTATTTGTGGATGATGTAATTCTTGTGTCAGATACTATTGGTGGTCTTGAGTGCCAGCTAGACACTTTAGAATCGTATGCAGATAAGTGGGGATTAACTGTAAATGTTGATAAATCTAAAATTCTTGTTTTTAGGACAGGTGGGAAAGTAGCAGTTAAGGAAAACTGGCTTTATAGTGGGAAAAACATTTAAACGGTAAACAGCTACAAATAGCTAGGTTTTGTGTTCACGTGTAATTGTAGTCTTAGACAACCGGTCTCAGAACTTGCAACTCGGAGTAAGAAGGCTAGCTTTAATGGAATTAACTATAAACTTTAGGAAATTAGGACTAATACCTATCGAAATATATTTTAAAATATTTGACAGCCACATTCAGCCAATATATCTCAACGGGTCAGATGTTTGGTGGGTTAAAAGATACGACAGCATTGAAAAAAAATCACTTACAAGCATATAAAATTATTTAAATGTCGGTCCACAGACACCAAATGCAATAATGTATGGTGAATGTGGACGGTTTCCAATTTATATTTATTCCTACGTTCGAACGATGAAATATTGGTTTAAGTTAACAACAATGCATGATGGACGAATTCCGAAAAAGGCATATGATATGTTATACTACCTAGATACTGCTGCGTACCACGCATGGGCGTCTGAGATCTGCCATATACTTTGCTCACACGGCATGGATTTGTCTGGTTTTCACAAGCTGTCGGCGATCCGTGCGCTTTTATTCACATTTTTAAAGAAGGCTTGATCGACCTGTTTTACCAAAATTGGACATCTACTCTTGAAAACAGTTCACGTTATATGCTATATACAAAATATAAGAGTCTTCTTGAGTCTGAGAGGTATCTGTCTTCAAACGTGGAATATAAATTCCAAGATTTTTGCCTAAGAATTTGCAAGTTTATGATATGATATCGTTTAGCAATATCCTTAAACAAAGCAAAACTGAAGCCATAAACAATCTATTATACATACAACATAAGAGAAAAGTTAGAAGAAATAGAACTATGTATTAGAATTCTGAAAAGTTCCAGTACAGCTATACAATTATATGTTACTGATATTTTTCACTGGGGGTGTAACATAATCTGCGCAGGTAGAAAGGTAAAAAGGTTTTAAGAAATTGTTTCTTCTTTTCGTTTACAACTTCATACCTGTTTAGAATATGTACATATTGGTATGTATATGGGCCTGTGACCTTCATACGTCTTAAAGATTTTGATGATGATGACAGAAAAATAAAACATGCGACTAAGATTGGCTTTGGAAAATATATCATTAAGTAACCCTGTTTATTCCTTGGTAATTCTTAATTGGTTGAATATATCATTCGATCACTTAATGGGGAAAATCATAACCATGTGTCAGTTTGAAACACTTGAATACCTGTTGGGTTTAACTTAACTTGGATAGTAAAATGTGACACAACAATTATTCACCACAGCAGAACAGAATACTCTTTATAGTGTGCAGTTGTAGTCAGTGCACGACAAAGCGACGAGAAATAACCTTGAAAATAGAACATTATGTTCTTTGTTGTACACTACATCCTGTTTACCTCATACGGGTACTTGGGTATGTAAATACATCGGAAATGCATATTACTCTAGTCGGCGACTGCTCATACAGAGAGAACCTGCGCTACTGATCTGAAGTCGAGAGTCAGAAATAGAGGACGAGACTTTAACCTGGTAAGTGCCTGCTTCCACTGTCGTAGTGTATTCATGATGACAAGGACGTCTCCAAATGCAGGACGGTCGATTACTATAACCTTTGTTAACGATTTTGTATGATTATGGAGGGACATACCCGTTGTCTTACTGATGATTTAGTTTGCTATCATCAGCGACTCGTACATGCATACGTTTGTGTTTATTAATATTTGCGTATACATCTCTGCATTCGTTCCTTAGAACGCCTAAGGCCCCAACCACATCATCGTTGTGTTACTTTTATGTGGACTTTAGTTTTCAATCCTAGAACAGGCATCGTGGCGTCGTCGTCGTCACATGAACCCAGCAAACACTGACAAAATTAACACATCTGCTCAAAAACACAAACGGACAGAGATGGCCATAGCAAGGTGGTAAGGTTTGAATAGAAGTCAAATCCGGCTGTATTATCCTATACACAGTGGGCAACGGTCGCTGCCGTGCTGTTGTGAGAGCTTTTAGTAGAGGGTTCAAACACAGATAAAAATCTCGGCACAGTAACTTCTCTTTTTTGATATCCAGGAGATAAAATACAAGCCATTTTATGAAATTAGTTGTACAGGATGTTTATGCTTCTTGAGAGTCATGAAATGTAAATGTCAATACTTTCAAAGTCCTTGAGCAGAAGACTGTGGAACAGGTGCCATTGAACGTGAATTGTTGACAATCGACCTACCGAAATACTTTTTAGGGATCATTTCTATAGTATGCATCGCCATGACTTCAGGTAAAACTGACAGTCTACTCCAACCACTTTAGAAAGTGGTCAAATGTAACATATGTTATATTTGGGATTACACTTTCTTAGTAAAGTACAGATTCTAGTACTTTTGTTGGGTTGAGTCCCATCCGGGATTCGAACCCACACTCTCAGAGTCAGGCACCTAATCGCCAGCACACAAAGTCAGACGCCTAGACCGCTCAGCCACCGCGGCTTCCACAAAAATGGAAGCCGCACGACATGCACAAATTGTCCTGCAAATTCGAAACCGGCATAACGTCAACGGACGTCAGAGGTGTATAGATACTTGAATTTAGAAGAATCATCGCCCTTCGCGGGTCATGTTTTCAGTTGAGTGCCGATTTTCCTCGCACTTTCTTTCTCGAAAGACGTGGTCGTGTCTGGCCACATCAAAATGAACAACAAGCTAATGTGTCAACCTTTCACCTCATGACAGATGTATCTGTGGATCGGTTAGGGTGTGTGCTGATATTACTATTACTGAGCGGAACCCACTCCAATTAGAGCGAGGGAGGATGGAAGACAGCGTTGTGTTAATGGACAGTGTTGTCGGGACAACTTACTGAAAAGGTCTCTTGTCCTATTTGCAAATGTGAGGGTCAACTTTCGTCTTTAAGGACCAAAATGCCCATACTAACCTCCCAACGGAACGGCATCCACAAAATGCGTTGGCCAGAAATAAGCCCGGGTGTTTCTTCATATTAAACAAGTCAGTGAGGTGACTTGTCAGTGACTTTATAGTGATCTGTGAACTTAGTTGATTTTAGAATACAGCTGTTAATCACAACATATTTCCTTTGTTTTTATTGATTCACAGATGGTTTTTGTAGGGACTGATGCCTGGTTAACTTTGTAGTTTAAACTTTGGAATCAACGCTTGTCGAGTGAAGGAATGTTGGACAGATCGTGGCGATATCAGGCACGACCGATACGTTACGTTTACTTTATCAAAATAGAGCATGTCTTCAACCGTATTTAGTCTTCAGTCGTGGTGATGAAGACGCTCTATTTGGGCGTGGTCACAGTGCTGGCATGGTTGTGTGTAGCGCTTGTGTGCGACGCGGAACCCCAGAGCCATCTCACCTGGCTGGGAGGTAGATCGTTATATAGCTTGGTGTAACTCACAGTACAACAGTGTTGTGGTATATTGCTTCTGTGGAGATCCAGTAGATGCCATTTTGGAGTCAGGAATAGTCGAGAAGTGTCTACAACAGCATATCCAGAGCATTCTGGGATGTTTTTACATACTTTATTACGGGAGGGATGTATGTTTCTATCGTCTCACATTACATCAAGGATAAGATTTCTGCATTGAATATTCAGCCTAGACAGCCTTGAAAGCTTGACCACTATTGCTTTGTGATACTTATTATCACTGGCTTATTTCTGTTCCAGCTGCTAGATAATTCTGTATAGCCATTGTAATGGTACTGTCACTGAACTCTGTACTCCCACTCTGTCCCACAGTAAATGTACTTTGCAATAGTTTGTATTGATTTATACACCGATGTTCATTTTCTCATATGTTTATTGTATTACATTTGTTTGTTGTGATTCGGTTGACAATGAATTTCAGATAAAAGCATTGGTTTCAATTTGGAAACGAGACAATTGCAATAGTAGAGTGCATTGTCCATATATCGCACAATTACATGGATGCTAAAATAGATTTATCACTCGTATAACTTTTTTGTCGTTGGTGTTTAACGCCACAACCAGCAATATTTCAGCTATAGGGTGGCGGTCTGTAAATAACTGAGTCTTGACCAGACAGTCCAGAGATCATCATCACGTGCATCGATCTACAGAGTTGGGCAGGATGACTTTTGTCAACCAATTTAAAGAGCCTGACATCCAACCGCGTCGGTAGCCTCTTACGACACGTATAAATTGCTTAAGGCCAATACTAGCCCAGAAATATGAAAAGGCTAGTAAAGGTCCGAGGTTTTGTCATTGGGTGGATACGTGGTTGAACGTTTTCTCAACTGAATCGTACATCATGTAACTATTCAGTGTATATATGTGGATCATGCCGCAAACCTGGAGCTAGATTTGATGTAACTACTGTCCAGAATTATCAACGGATGGTACAAATTGAATAAGAAACGCGCCATTTCACCCCCTAATTATGCTATTGATTACACACTCGCATCTGATTTATCGAACGAGGAAAACCTTCACTAACGCTTTCTCACTGAGTAATAGTGCCACGGACACTTGCACCGTGCTTCAAACTTCTGCGTGGACCATCCATGTAATGAACTGGACATACACATACATTTAACCATATGTGCATCTTAGCACCTGCTATCAGTCCTCGATGAAAGACATCGTCGTTGCATGTCCGATGAAGTACCTCGGTCAAGGTCATACAAGAAATATAGCGTTTTGACTGGCGGACACGCACAGGTTTGACTGGTGTGTGGATTGGTCATTGCCTGGGATATTATGTCGCGTTTTGGGTATCTTCAAACAGTGGATAGCACTCCGTGCTTTCCAGGTTGTGTTTACGTGCCTTCGTCGTTCCTGTACACAAGCTATTTTCAACAGCGTGCTCTAGTCGTATTACCGTCCACACTGCCAAACGCTTCAGGACGGAGGGTAAAACAGCTGATCAAGGAGGAGTGGAGGACCAACGAGTGAGAGGATTCAGTGATACTTGAAAGATTAAACATACCAACAGCAAAGCACACCAGAAATGGGATTCACACATTGTACCCATCTGGAGAATTGAACCCGGGTCTTTGGCATGACAAGAGAACACATTAACCATTAGGCTACCCCACCGCCACTGGAACAAATTGAAATGGCAGTGCAAATTCAATGACGGTATAAATACAATGGCAATCTGCACCAGTAGTCAGGCTTTCAAAACAGGTCATGGCTGATGATCCTTGGAGAAAAGTGATCTTCATACAGCTGCTGCAACCGGTCCCCATGTAATGTGAGATGACCAAGACAAGACTGCTCTATTGTGTGTTAAGTAACAGAGAATGTCAGATACGTTTCATGGGGTTTGTTTTGACAGAAATCACAATCGAAAACTGAATGCCTCGTGTTACAGTCCTTTCAGGTGAGAAATGCACAGCTGCCCATTCCAGATGGTCGACGTAATCTTCATTATGTGCAATGATCTGACATACGTTAATATTGTGGAACTCAAGAACTGGTGGAAAACAACTTGGTTCGATGTTTGAGTGTGAAATTCGGTAGAAAACGATGATAATGGTAATTTTAGAATGCCAGATCTGGGGGTGACAGTTATTGGGTCACTAATACTTTTCTAAAGAACAGTAACAACGTGGGCTTCTTGTCATTCTCTCTTTGTATGATGACATTGCAGACATATTGTCTTCATACTAAAATCATTTCCGTCACGACCACTTTGCTAGACGCAGATATTTTTTCGAACACTTAAACTACTTGTGTATATGACATCATACACACATTGTTGCTGTTACTTTTCATATGAAAGTGGGTGGTGCTTCATGTACTTTCGACACAATTTGTAAGATTCACAGAATGGATTTGGAAAACTATTTCCATCCAACAATATTGTGGCTGGCTTGATTGCTGACAAATAATTGGTCATGAGCAAATTTAAGGTATTTGTCGCAAGATGAAAAATATATTTTACTGTTATCTGCTTAGTTTGTTACAAACTTGTTTAACATGTTCTGCTTTTTGCAGAAATATTCCTACATCACATCATCAGCAAACAATAGTCACATATCTCTTTATATTTTGTGTGTGACAAATATTCTACTAAGAGACAGGTAGACTCCAGTATACTCCAACACATTCCATCTATCGCCTACAGTATTTTAGCTATATCCATAGGTATCCACCAATACCCAACTAAGCTTCCAATCTATCCCTCTTGTAGGCTCAGCCTATCCACACTATTTTATGTCTATCTCCTAATACACTTCTGCATTATCACCTACTACGCACGATCCCCAACGCCCATGTCGCTTCAACGCTTCATCTGTCCCATTATACTCCACCTAACTGCCCCCTAATCCCAATCTTTCCACCCGACGTCTCACTCGTCCCTTCCACGCAACATCCACCCCATGAACACACATACTACCGCGGCTTCCACTAAAATGGAATTTGGGACAACTGGTGGACTTTGTGTACCCCTCTGAAAAGTGTAAATTGGCACGGCTCCCACTGCCGAAAGCTATGAACACACATGCCATTTAGACTGTGGTCAGATGTAACATGTGTTGTGTTTGGGATTACAATTACTCAGTAAGGTACAGGTTGTAGTACTTTTATTGGTCTGAGCCCCATCCGGGATTCGAATCCATACTCTCAGAGTCAGGCACCTAATCACCAGCACACAAAGTCAGCCGTCTAACCCACGCAACTCTACCACGGCTTCCACAATAACGGTGATGGACAACTGGTGGTCTAGACCATGGACTTTGTGTAACGCTCTGATAAGTGTAAAACATATCTACTCATCATCTACCACGTTCCATCTATTCCCTACTATACGCTCTTTTTCATATACCCTACCTCTATCATCCCCTACGCTGCATCCATACCCTACCTCTATCATCCCTTACGCTCCATTCCCATCTCCTACCTCTATCATCCCTTCTACGCTCCATCCATCCCCTCACCTCTCTATCATCCCCTACGCTACATCTGTCTCCTACCTCTATCATCCCCCTACGCTGCATCTGTCTCCTCTCTATCATCCACTACGCTACATCTGTCTCCTACCTCTATCATCCCCTACGCTGCATCTGTCTCCTACCTCTATCATCCCCTACGCTACATCTGTCTCCTACCTCTATCATCCCCTACGCTACATCTGTCTCCTACCTCTATCATCCCCTACGCTACATCTGTCTCCTACCTCTATCATCCCCTACGCTCCATCCATCTCCTCCCTACCTCTATCATCCCCTACGCTACATCTGTCTCCTACCTCTATCATCCCTTTTACGCTACATCTGTCTCCTACCTCTATCATCCCCTACGCTCCATCCATCCCTCTGCCTCTATCATCCCCTACGCTTCATCCATCCCCACTTCTATCAGTCCACCTACGCTCCATCTATCTCCTACCTCTATCATCCCCTACGCTACATCTGTCTCCCTACCTCTATCATCCCCTTTACGCTACATCTGTCTCCTACCTCTATCATCCACTACGCTCCATCCATCCCTACCTCTATCATCCCCTACGCTACATCTGTCTCCTACCTCTATCATCCCCTTTACGCTACATCTGTCTCCTACCTCTATCATCCACTACGCTCCATCCATCCCCTACCTCTATCATCCCCTACGCTACATCTGTCTCCTACCTCTATCATCCCCTACGCTACATCTGTCTCCTACCTCTATCATCCCCTACGCTACATCCATCCCCTACCTCTATCATCCCCTACGCTACATCTGTCTCCTACCTCTATCATCCCTTACGCTCCATCCATCCCCTACCTCTATCATCCACTACGCTCCATCAATCCCCTACCTCTATCATCCCCTACGCTACATCCATCCCCTACCTCTATCATGCACTACGCTCCATCTTTCTCCTACCTCTATCATCCACTACGCTCCATCCATCCCCTACCTCTATCATCCACTACGCTCCATCCATCCCCTACCTCTATCATCCACTACGCTCCATTTATCCCCTACAGATACCATCTTCTATGCTTCATCTATCCCATACGTCGCTCCATTTGTTCCCCGATACCGTCTATGTATCCCATATTATGCTGTATATCCCTTACTACACTGTATCTCATCCCTATAATCTCCACTTATCACCTTCTACAAGGAGCTATCAAAACGTTTGAACCTAAAATACGTCTGATGTGTGCATGATACAAATACCTGTATGACATTGAAGAATGGTTTATATCTTTCACATAAACGTTATAAAGTTATTGGTCCTCGAGGGCCACCCGGCTAAGCACATTGACAGCAGTACGAGTATTGAGTCCCATGGGGTACTCTGTTTTACTGTCAATCGCTCTTCTTCTAAGTGCTACTCGTACTGCTGTCAGTCGCTCTTCAATGTGTTTCGCCGGGTGGCCCTCGAGGACCAAAACTCAAGCTTTCAGCCATTTCTGCCGTTTCAATAGGGGTACATGTGACTAGATGACCGGAAACTAGCGTCATGTGCATGTCAATATTACGTTTACGTGAATGCTATAAGCCATTCTTCAATACCATACAGTTATTTTTATCATGCACATATCAGAAGTTTTTTAGGCTCAAAACGTCTTGAAAGCCCTTCGCATCACCGACACATGTCAGCACTGTTGAGACGTTAACATAAGAATACTTGAGTCGCCACGAAGACAGGACAGGATCAGGCGCGGATACAGCTTTTTGAGAAAAGGGGTAGGGGTGGGTGGTGGTGCACAGTACATTCTCACCCGTTTTCACGAGAGTTTCAATCGTCATTTAATATACTTTCAGGACAAAAAAGAACTGGGGAAGGGGGTGGTGGGGTTTGGGGGTCTTGTGGTTGTGGTGTGTGTGTGTGTATGTGTGTGTTTGTGTGTGTGTGTGGGGGGAGGGTGTTTAGTGGATCCTTCACCTGACCTCTGTATGAGGTGTCCATCCAAACACAGTCAGGAACCGCTGATGCCATGACGAGATACGGCCATGTCGTCCCGCCATACGACCTGACCAGTCACGTAAAAAATGGTGCTGATATCATAATCTGTCGACCTCCGCTTTGGTAGAGGACTATTGGCTTTACAGACGAGTCGAATGCAGATTTAACTTTTTTCTCCGTAGTATTCATAATAATAATAATAATAATAATTGCTTTGTATAGCCCTTATTTCCAATTATATGGAGCTGCTCAATGGTGCTTTACACGTTACAGTTCAATCATTAGATGAGAAAAGAAATGTTTTGAGTTTTCTCTTAAAAGCTCGGAGAGAGTCACTGTTCCTGATGTCAAGGGGGACCGCGTTCCACAGGGCAGGAGCTGCAACTGAGAAGGCACGATCTCCAGCCGTTGTTGATGTTGATGGAACAACCAGTTTCTCCTTCTGGGCAGAACGTAAGGTTCAAGATGGGTGGTAGACCGATAGAAGGTCCTTTAAATAAGTAGGCGATGATTCAACATAGAGAGCATTGTACGCCAAGACGAGCAACTTGAAACTGACCCGATGTCTAATGGCCAACAAGTGTAAATCTCTGAGAATTGGCGTAATGTGACAATCCTTTCTGGTGCGAGCAGCCTTGTTCTGAACTCTCTGTAAGTGAGAGATTACGCCAGATCCAAACACTAGAGAGTTACAGTAATCGAGTCTCCATGTTACTTGAGACTGAATCAGAGTTTTGCTAGTTTCGTTATCAAGGTACTTTTCGAGTTTGCCGATGTTAGCGATATGGAAGTTTGCTGCTTTGGCTGTGTTCAGTGCCTGATGTTTACCTGACATGGTTCTATCCAAGACAACGCCCAGGTTCTTGACAGTTGTAGCTGAAGCAACACAGATCTTGTCCACAGATAGGTTGATTGTAACTGTAATCTTGGCGAGCTGTTGTTGAGTACCAAACATAATGAATTCTGTTTTGGTCCTTGTAAAGTTGCAGGTAATTAGCTGACATCCAATCATGACCGTCGCTGATGCAGTCTTGTATGCTCTGGATTCCTGTGCTTACATTCGATGGTCTAATCGCTACATACAACTGCTGATCGTCGGCGTATCCATGGAAGTCCAAAGAGTGACCTTTGATGATGTTTCCCAGTGGCTGGATATAGCACAGAACAGGACCTAACACGGTTCCTTGCGGGACGCCATGTTTGAGGACTTTTGGGGCTGATGTTACACCGTCCACTTGCACACGCATGGATCGGTTTGGCAAGTAAGACTCGATCCAGGCAAGAACCCTGCCAGAGATGCTGAATGTGTGTTTCAGCCTTGACAGAAGGATGTTGTGACATATGGAGTCAAAGGCCGCGGAGAGGTCTAGGAGGACGAGAAGAACAATCTCCTTGCGGTCCATGGCTCGGAGTACATCATTTTGTACTCTCACAAGGGCTGTTTCAGTGCTGTGAGATCGCTTATAGGCCGACTGAAATATTTCAGTTAGTCCGTGATCATTGATGTGTGATTTCAGTTGGGAGAGAACAACCTTTTCCATGATTTTTGAAAGGAAACTGAGGTTGGAGACTGGGCGTAGGTTCTTAAAAACATCCGGATCCAGTGATTGTTTCTTTAGAATGGGCGTCACAATTGCTTCCTTGAAGCATTGCGGGAATACGCCGGATTCTAAAGAAGAGTTGATCACTGAGGATGCTGGAGAGGCGACCGCAGGGAGACAATGCTTAAGTATCAATGTTGGGATGGGATCTTGTGAACCTGTCTTGTTTGGTGCTGCCTGAATCATTTTGCTCACACTACACTCAGTTGCAGGAGCAAAAGTGGAGAGTTCTGTGCCAAGGAATCCGGAGTCGTATTCCAAGGCATTGTGGCCGGGACCGGAAGAGGTAATGTTGTCCACAATCCTGTCCACTTTGTAGTAGCTATATCATTCGCCCGCTTCACAGACACAACCTTAGTTGCATTTTTGTGTGTATCAGCCTTTGTTTCTGTGAGAGACTTAACAATCCTGTACAGCTTTTTAGTGTCGTTTTTGTTGTCGACTATCTGTTTCTTTACATGAGACAATTTGGACTTACGCACAAGGGAGTTGACCCTATTTCTACAGACTTGACGGATGTCAGCGTGTCTGGGAGCTTTGTGCTCCTTTGTTATTGAGAGGAATCACTTTCGGGTTCGCTCCGTGATGAATTTTGGTGGGAAAAGTGTAAGTCAGAGACGTTAAAAGTGCTCGTCAGAGAATCACATTAGTTGTTGTTTAGTCAACCTAATCGCCCAGGAATAACATCTCAGCAGTGTTATACTTATCCTCGCACAGCTATTGTTGCTATCGCTTTTCGTCAATAGCACAATGTCAAAGTATTCCCTTGGTCTACAAATTCACCGGATCTATGCCTTTGGATCATGGATGGAAGGAAATGGAGCTACGTATTCGAATATATCAGCCAGATAATGAGCATGATTTGGCTGCAGAATAGCAGGAAATATGGCAAGTTATTCTACAAGTTTTCCATGTCCATTTGATAGACCATGCGTCAGCTGGGCACTACTGTTCTCGCTTCTCACGGTTGACATACCCGTTCTAGAGTTGTGACATTGTTGCTTGACCTCTGCCCCATAGTTTAAACCATGACGTCATTAAACATGCTGTTGTGCCATCTTCCTGTGGCCTCAATATTCACACCATGGAAACACTATTTTATGATATTTTAAAATTTATATGAAAATTGTTGACATTGCACCGTTTCTTTTTGTTGCTAGTATTAATAGCTACTGTGTACATGTCACATCGCACATCTATCAACACAACGTAAGGTGACCTCACGATTAACCGATGTTTTTGGTTCACACAAAGTAAATCTGAGTCACCCGTGTGTTTATTGTTGCCAGTGTGTCGCAACATGCCGAAAAATATGTGTTTATTAGTCAGTGTGGGATCCACTGTGTGATCGCACCACAACAAAGAACTCATCCAGCCGAGAATAACGTGTAACGCAATCTTCTATCTGGTGTATCGTGGGTTTTGCTCAGGCCAGTTGTGATCAGCAAAATTCCATGAAAAAACCCTGTGTGGGAAATTTTGAACAATTGACAGAAAGCGATGGCGGTTTACCGACGCATTTACCTATTTACATTTCCTAAATGCTACATCCAACTGATGTTGAACTATGCGATGGACACGGCTATTTCATGGGGAGGAAATGAATAGCTCCAGCTGTCACTGATTAGAAGCTTTTAAGTTATCATGATCATCGATTTACATAATATTCCACTACGGAAAAAGCCCTTTGCAAAATACTTTCTTTCAGCTCTCACAAATGTAACCGAAGACGCATATACACGCATACACACACACATCCACGGATAGATAAACACACATGTAAATACACACACTCACATCCACACATAGATACACACGCAACAAAATACACACACATCCACACATAAATGCACACACATTACACATACATCCACACATATAAAAACACACATCCACACATATAAATACACACATATAAATACACACACTCACATCCACACTTAGATACACAAACACATAAATACACACATCCACACATAGATACACACATATAGATACACACACTCACATCAACACATAGATACACACATAAAATACACACACTCACATCGACACATAGCTAGACACATAAAATACACACACTCACATCGACACATAGCTAGACACATAAAAATACACACGCATCCACACATAGATACACACACATAGAAATACACACTCACACGCACACATAGATACACACACATATAAATACACATTCACATCCACACATAGGTACACACATATAAATATACACACTGACATCCACACATAGGTACACACAGATATAAATACACACATTGACATCCACACATATGTACACACACATACAAATACACACACTCACACCACACATAGGTGCACACACATGTAAATACACACTCACATCCGCACATATATACAAACACATACACACCAACACACACATGCATGCATGCATCCATCCATGCATGCATGCATCCATCCATCCACACACATATACATACATACATGGATACATACACACACAAGTACATACATACATACATACATGGATACATATACATACATACATACATACATACATACATACATACATACATACATACATACAGACATACATACATACATACATACATACATACATACATACATACATACATACATACACACACACACATACATACAGACACACACATACATACAGACAGACATACATACATACATACATACATACATACATACATACATACATACATACATACATACACACACACATACATACACACACATACATACATACATACATACATACATACATACATACATACATACATACATACATACATACATACATACATACATACAAACATACATACATACATACATACATACATACATACATAGACGAATGTGGATGGTGTTATGTTTTACACACCTAAACGTTCAAGAAATGATGTTTGTCAACACTTGTCAACCTATAATCAAGTATTTCGTATGAGCATTGCATTTCACGACCCCTGGCACTGCTGGACCCCTACAAAATATCTTCAGGACGCTTTGGGCTTTTAGTTTGGGTTGTATGCAATTGTATTTTTGTACCTTCAGCTATCAAAGAAGCTAGGACCAACCTTGTTTGTAGAAATGAGATGAGCTGTTGGGATTACATAATCTGTACCTACTTTGGGTTGTAGCTCCTCCGGGGAATTAGTGTTTTGTTGCCATGTTGTGTTTGTACGACAGCCTAATGCTTCCATGTTTGAACCATATATTGTTTGTTGGGGAAATATATCGAATGGACGCTTTAGGTTAGTCCTCACTTTGCCGGCGGGTATTTTCCTCCTGACAATTTACCTGTAACAATAGAGATTAACCACAATGTTCTTTGTACTCGCCCCAGCTTGATTCAATGATGATCCGGATGTTTTTACCCTGACACGACCGACTTACATGGCAATCACTGACCCGAAACATGACTAGGACTGTTGCAATACCCGTTCTCAGTTCAGTCAGTTATTGGTGTAGCAAGCTGTGTGGGACTGTGTTTTCCTCTACCGGGTAAGACGGAATTGTATTGTAAGCTTCGTTTATGACAGAAGTTTACATCTATTTGTTCCATGTGGTTTGACAACATTCTATTATATTGTTTATTAGACAAGTTATACATAAGACACAATAATAACTCTAAGGTCCATGGGTGTCGATCCGGGTCAGGTTGGAGCAAATCGCTTAGCTTTTACATAAGTCACCTGGTTACTTGGTTACTCTTGATAAATCTGGAAGTTTAACTTGTTTTGTTCTCGTTCAAGCAATACTTTCGTCAGGTCAGCGCACAGAGGCTCATTGCGTTAGGAGCTGAAGGTATACACCAATGAGTGAGTGTTTGGTTGAATATCGAGCAGACGTGACCCATTGTTTTACTAGCGTGTTTCAAGTTTCACTTTGGTATTACAATCGTTTTACGGATTCGTTTCTCGCGATTCTCAGAAACATAATACCAAATGTGTGAGCTAACACCAACTGCTCGTTACGTAAGAATTGCGCAATGTGCAGCATGAACGGGTAGTCACCGCGATAGCCTCACTATCAAGTCTCAGGCATACTTCGTTGGTCTGTAGCATACATTATCAACTGAGATTGTTAGTTGCTGTATCCTCAAAGGGGGTTAAAGTGCTATAAAATTATTGTCCTCCTGCGAGGATACGTAAGTCCATAAACCTTCAAAGTACTTTTCAATCTACCAGAACTTTTAAACGTAGCATTTGTGTGATTTTAAGTTATGGCTTAACTTTCCTACAATCGCCAGCGGCTGAAGGGATGGTATAAATCCATCTAGGGTACATGCAGGTAGCAAAGGTACTGTAAGTCCCCATGGTCTCTAGTATGGTGATCTACCTTTGATTGCTGGAGATTTTAAGCCCGTTTTTTATTGTATTCTCCTAATTTGAAATCCAGTTTTAGACATAGATACTAGTTTTACTTTCTGTGTCTGTGATATTCTAGTTAGTTTTACTGTCCTTCGTTGACAGGCTTTTAGTGATTTACATGTATTTATGATGAAGTTAAAAACTAGTTTTAACCACAATATGGCTGAAATAATGCCAATGTGACTTTAAATTATAACTCACTCACTCACTCATGGTGTATATTTATATTGTTCTTAAAGTCTACAATAGTCTCTCATAACCCTAAACGGGTGGCTCACTTTTATTCTGTAATATAGCTTATATGTGTCCTGTATTTTACATGTGAGGTGAGACTCAAGTATATAATCTGTCTGTCTGTCTACATTGTGTGTAGGATACATTGTCTGTAGGTACAAAAGAAGATTGACTGTATTTGCTGTTGAGAAATGAGCATGCATGTGTTTACAACAATTAATGTTAAGTCTGAAATTGTTTTCGACAAGAGATTTCCGTGCTAGATAGTTACAGGGATGGTTGCTTGTTTAATGCTGTAAATTGTCGAGTCTGGACGAGACAATCCAGTGATTGACATCACACATTCACTCAGGGAACTGATATACGATTCCACCTATCGGCCAAGTCAGTGAGTCTGGAAACCCGATCCCTTTAGTCAATAGAACATATATTGGAAGTTTTTGTCTCTGGAATATTTTGTATCAATATAAGAATGGCAACGTCATTGAATAATCAGTGTCGATTTGCCGAAGACAATTCCTTTGAGTCTCCTGGGACAAAAATGGATGAAAATTGGGAGAATTAAATATTTATATCTCTTGGCTTGTCCCTGCTGTTTAGGGATGGCGGTTATAATTCCGTTATACTACATCCAATTTCAAAACACAGTAGGTTTATCTCCATTCAATTTTATGAACCGTTTCATCTGAACTCTTTCTTTTGGTTACGCTCCAGTACGTGAAGCGGCCTCGCTTTCCAACCTCAAGTGGTATCACCAATAATGGGGTGATTGGTGGTAACATCGTCAGAAACTAACAAACACCAAGTTCAGTATTAACGAAATTTGGAAAGAGGCGCTAGGACAGCTTCAGACAGTTTATGTATACCTGAGTCTTTGATGTCTAATTATTTCTACCTTGCAAAATGTAAGAGTTGAGTCGCTTTTGCTGTGATGAAGACTTTGTGTTGTACAAATTTAAATACTGTTGGATTTTGTGCCCTGTCAAATTTACGATTTCACGCACCTCCACGTCTGCGTGCGACAGAAGAGTCACTCTTACACACTCGTTTGTGTATTTTGTGCTCAAGTTAGATTCTACGGATATTGTTTTCAACATTTTGGAAAGTGTGTTGTGACCTAGTGGCTTCAAAGTGTAGCGGATTCAAACTGAATCGGATCCTGTCTTGTACCTCCCAAGCTTTTTGTGTGAAATGTATGACGTAAATCTATTTTGAAAGAAATGCGTTTTACGATTATTTTATAAATAATAAAAATATAATATTGCTTTACGGACGATCGATCGACTTATCGTCATTACATAAACATTCACAGTGCATTTATTGATGGATGGTAATGGAAGCGTTCGTCTTGTAGGTTTTACTTTGGTTTAAAAGATTAACACTTTCCTAATATCGCAAACGTTCTCCACTAACTGTTGATAGGCAGTGCTTATAACGTTGTAGATCATAAACTGACATGTATGTATTTTGATAAACCGTGGAGGGGAATGAATTGATTTATGGGTTGAGGGAATAATAACTTATTTCTACATGGATAGTAGTGATAATAACCAAGCAGGCGAGGGGCTAGAGGTACTAATTAGTAAATCATGATCATGTTTCTAGAGCAGGACACGTTTCAACGTTGAAGATTTTGGTTGTTCATTCAGATGGCATCAGGACAATGTCTCAAAAATGAAAGAAGCAAATGTCATTTAAGTTAACTTCTTTGAGTGGCATTTTAGAAGTTGGGAAGTACAATATAGAACAAACTTTATGGATAACAACTTCCTTTGTTATGAAAAGAAGTTGTTATCCATAAAGTTTGTTCTATATCATTTGAAGTTTACCGAGAAAGTAATATGTGAAATACGGGACCTTTTCATTGATAACATTTCGACAAAAAGTAGGCTTACACAGGGAACCAAGTGTGCTCCCCTATTCGCGGAATTGGTTCTTTATACATATGAATCGGAATTTCTGCTTTGGTTGGCAAATTGAAAACGAGGTAATTTGGCGAAGAAGTTTAACTCAAGCTTCAGGTATATCGATGATTTGATATCGTTCAATAACTACCAGCCAGACAATTGCCTTCCACTGATTTACCACCTGAACCAGAAATTAATGAGACAAGTCAGACCGCGTCAACTGTTTCATATTTAGATCTGTCCATTAAGATTCAGAGAGACAAATATTCTTCACAAGGCAGAATGGACAGAAGGGATGAATTCAACTTCCCAATGCTCAATATCTACCATGTCGAGCAATATCCCAACAGCTCCAGCCTTTCGTGTTTACATTTCACAACTTTTGAGGTACAATCGAACATGATCTTTTTGCCAAGAGTGTCATACCACTCTTGATCAGAAATTGTTCGATCAGGGTTACAACATTCAAGGCCTCAGCAAAGTTTTAAAAAGTTTTATGGTAGACATGTTGAGGACATTTAGAAATTTGGTGCATCAGTGACAAAAATGCTGTCCTATGTAATTCTCAATCTTGACTTGTACCATACGTCCCTGAATTATTTCAGGCGAACATTTGACTAGACTTTGCATATGTAATGACGGGTGTCACCGGTGGGGCAGGATACGCTCACCTTTTAACGTCTGATATCATCACTATTTCATATGTATTCATAAACACATGCTCTGTCATCGTCTGTCATCGCATGGTGACAATCATTGGATTGTCTTGTCCAGACTCGATTTGTTTACAAACAACATCGTACAGCTGTAATGCTGCTGAAACAAACATATACTCATGATATAGTCACCATTGTACACTCGATTCTGCTTTTAGCAGAGAGGTCTTATGAAGGTCAGTGAGTTCAGTTTTACGCCGCTTTTAGCAATAATCCATCAATATCACGGCAGGGGACACCAGAAATGGGCTTCACATATTGTACCCATGTGGGGAATCGAACCGAGGCGTGACGAGCGAACGCTTTAACCATTAGGCTACCACACCGCCCCGAATTTGGAGAGGGTTTCGTCGCTTCTATTAAACTTTAAGTCGGGCTTTGTTCTACGATACATAAATATTGAGACAATTTTGTAAAACTAATATCGAAAGGTGATATGTTCATCATATTTTGTGTTTCCTTTCATCGTGATATTGAGGCCAGTGAGACCCAGTAAAGGTCGAAAGGGTTAGTGTTGTTTGTTCTGTACAATGCATACATGACCAGCTGAACCAAGCGTTATGGTCTATATTTGCGTCATGTGCGAAAATAGACATGATGCTATTTTCATAAAGAGGTGAACTAGTTTGGGACAGACCTGTTGGCCTTGACTTCTCATCGCCCATACACGCATTAAAATGTGAGGCACGTTGTTTGTCGTTTTCATGATTATCTTTTCTTCGTCTTTCGCTTTAATAATTTCATTTGTCTATTTCACCACACGTTCTTCTTACCGAGTCACTTTCTCAGTTCGATACTTAAAAGCAATGTCATTATTTAGCGTTGACAGAATTTCTAACTGTGATTATAGATATGTCGTTGTCACAGACAAAACTCAATGTCTTGTTTTATTGACACCTGTGTGTCTGCCTGCCTGTCTGCTAATGACAATATTCAATACACAACTGCGATCACTGACCACATGCAATTTGAACTTAACACCAATCAGGCTATACACCATAAACAAAACGCATTGATTTATGGCCCGAGTTCGGTCTCTGTCACATTATGTAATTACACAGACAGGCAGGTGTGATACTTGAACAAATGACATGTTATGATGTCTGTTGATTGCAAAATGTTATACACAAAAAATGAGCATGTATTTACAAAACCCAACATCTCTATATATACACACACAATGAGCCGTGAGGGCATCTGCAAATGAACCAGCCGTTACACTTGAGTGCACACTGTACTATATATGGATATTACACAACACTTGTTTCAGGGTCACAGGTCCATAACTTGCCAGTATCAGTTCTATGTACTCCCATACCTTTACACAGGTCTCGAAGTGTAAAATATGCATACATAAGACTGTTCATGCATCTTTGAATCATCTTTGAATGATTGTACATTTACGTTTGTGACGTTTTTCTATAACTTAAGATTTAGCTCTGACAGACCGCTAATAGGTTGGTGATGAGTACGCTCTATTATGATAGTTATTAGTCCTTACATACTGAGCAAACCAGTCCCAGTATTTAACTAAATCTTCTCTTAACCTAAAGTTGTGGATACAGTGAGTGTTGGCTCTTGTTGAAATATCATGTAGCTGACAACCAATAAAGGATTGACGTCGCATAATGACGTCAGTGTGTTGTAGGGTATTGTAGGACTGACAACCGTCTCACCAGTAAATGCTTTGAATGGTCTCCTAGACAATACATTCAAACTCTTACCAAACTTCACTGTTTGTAAAGAAACACGTTTGAGACACAATGGGGGATGTTTTACACCTCGACCCCACAAGTTCGTTCGGCATAATATATGAAGGGAGTTGAGATAACAACGAAACTGTTATTTCTGTTATATAAAGGGTGGCCATCTACTGGTTGCCTTGATATGTTTCTTGACGTCGTGTGCAATTTTCACAGCTTCATTTTGTATTGACGGACGTGGTTGACGTGCTGTATGTGATCTGTTTATGTCATGCTCTGATATATCCCGTGGTAAACAGATTGTACTGCTGAACACATAACCCCATTAAGCATAGCAAATATTAGTCTCGTCTATGGTCTGGTGAGCATGTACCACTTACATTTCTTAAAGACACAGAAGAGTAGAGCAGTGCACTCTGAAGCTCTCTGAGCATGTCTAATGGTCATGAGCATTTGTCCAAAGGACCTGTTATTAATATAAACATCACTAAGCGTCGCATAAATGCAGTACATTTGAACCTTAAATATACGTGATACGGCAAATGCTTATTCATTTGAACATTTGGAGAAATGTTTATCCCAGGCGCTGGCATCGTTCAGTTTTAATCTTAGGAACTTGGGTCAAGTAATCTTAGGAACTCGGGTCAGACTGGATTTCACGACCAAATCACATTTTAGCACATTTAACGTTCAGTACGCTGGATTCGTTCCTACTTGTTAATACATCTCGCAAAAGTTCTCTTACAACAGGCTTAGCAGATGTTCAAACGGAAACCGGTACTATTTCTCGTAAAAGCGCAAAAATATGGTGCCCTAAAAGGAGATCCTTCAACAGACTATCGGACAGTTTGGAAAATACTGGGTTGTGGTGATTCCTGCACATGAGTATTTGTCCAAAGGACCTGCTATTAATATAAACATCACTAAGCGTTTACATTATCACAGATAGGGTTTTGTTCGAAACACGTGTGCTCTGTCTTTACGTTTGGATGTCGAGACATCTTTCTATGAAATAATATATGAAGGAAACAACTACTCGGCAATAGCAACGTTTCAATCGCATTACTTTGTATTTGATCAATAATCCCAAGTTTTCAGTGTCGACTTTCTATCAATCACGGTACGTTTCAATCGCATTGTGTATTTGAAGTGTCGACTTTCAATCACGGTAGCTGCAAGGTGCACACCTTCCCCTTTAGGATGAAGCTGGGCTACTGGGGCGTGGCCGCGGTGCTGGCGTGGCTGTGTCTTGTGCTTGTATGTGAGACTAAACCCCTCAACCATCTTAACTGGCTGGTAGGTACATCTGTAGTGAACATTGTAGTCACACACAGCTCAGCGCCTGTTTCTGTCTGTCTGTCTGTCTGTCTGTCTGTCTGTCTGCATGCGTGTATTAATGCCTTTTCTCAGTATAATCAGGTAATTGATTTGTTATTTGTCAACAGGTAAATATTATCTTGACGTACAATTTACATGTCACATCACTCCTACGTCATTGTACATTGAAAAGAGCTCTAAGTCACTGATGAAATACAGCTTTACTATTAGATTTGATTCATGATTTTACAGAAAATATCTTCCCACCGGAAGAAACGACAAGTTTCCTGTGAGTATAAGCCTTTACTTTAATCCATTATGATTCTTATCATCTCCCAGCCGTGTGTGTGCGTTTTACAAATGTTTTAAAGGCATGGGGCTTTCTACATTTTCTCCCAGGTGACGCTGATACAGTCCAATGATGTAGGAGCACAGGTGTGTCGGTGGGCTGTGTTCGGTTCTGGGTTTCAGCATTATACACGAGCTCGTTGACGTGGCCATGCCCCTAACCGGCATCACAGTGTTCTGAAATGTTACTATAGAGATAAATATACTAGTAATTATAACCATACGTGTACACTTTATTGCAGTAACTGCTTTGTTCGTTTAGGAGATTGCCATCATGTGTTGGCCAATTTCCGGTGTTATTGAGTATTTGAAGCACGGGAATTCATTTGGAACCGACGACATTAGCCGGAGGTTTCAAATAAAATATTTCCGCGCTTCAAATACTCAATAACACCCGGAAATTGGCCAACACATGATGTTAATCGACATTGTAAACACAAAAGTAAACCAAAAGGTCCACACACGTTTTTCTGTCTGCACTCATTGACATCGAGTACGGGTACAGCAGTGAAATGTCATTGGCCGGCCGTTTCGGCTGTCTCCCATGGTAGCATGCATCTGGAACTGCTCATTTGTGACGTCATTCGGACTATATGGTTTGAATGACGTCACCACTGCTGACGACGTAACAATACAATGGTCTGTGCAATGTTCGTACGTATTAATACTCAGCGAATGGTCTTGCAATTTCCGGGAATCGAATACCATTCGATCATGTTTTTCAGCCAATCAGATTAAAGAACACAGTGACTTTTGGTTTACAATGATATTATAATCATGGTTTTCTTCATGTTCAAGATCCAACACCAGCGACTACATCTGCCACTATAACACCTTGTAAGTAAACATGTTGTATGTCTATTTCAAACACAGTCGTTTCAGAATCATTTATTTGAGAGAGCTTGCATGAACGCGTCACAATTTTGTCAGAAACTCTCACTGTTTCCAGTTTCTCACAAATGATTTGTCAATATTTAATATGCTGACATCATGGATGTATGCGAAGGATGGATAAAAGAAAGCAAAATTTACGAATGATTAATGAATGCTTTGACATTTTATGTAGGTTGAGTACACAGATATCTTTCTTTTTCTAGGGTTGGGGTGAGAATCAATTGAAACCCCACACAAGTATGTTTCTATATGTAACAATAAGAATGAAATTTAACCGATATGGATTAGTCTGTTCTCCTTCAGAATGCATTTCACTTGGCTGCAAAAGCAGCTTAAATCCATATCTATGCTTACATTTAGAAGTACTACATTCCTGAAAACCTACATAAAACAAATATTCGTGTGGTGATGTAACTGAAATATACAACACGCATAAGGATCATTTATCGCTGTTATTGAATGCCATAACATTTCTTTTGTCTCGTTAAGATGCACAGACCCGTGAAAGATCGGGTTAGACTTGATCTTCAGTAACCATGTTTGTCGTAAGAGGCGACCAAACGGGATCGGGTGGTCAGCCTCATTGATTTAGTTGACACAGTCATGTCATCATATCTCAGTATCGTAGATCGATGCTGGTGCTGTTGATCACTGGATTGTCTGGTCCAGCCTCGATTATTTACAGACCACCGCCATGTAGCTGGAATATTGCTAGTGCGGCGTAAAACAACAAATCAACCAACTAAGATGCACCGACAACGAATGGTACAGGAAATAATCATCCTAATTCTGGTAGATAATAGTGTTTGGTCATAGCAATTGACATACGAATTCTGGCATATATATATCTTGAATTTAAAACGAGGAACATTGATCAAGAATGTTCAGAAACGACTCTCAAAGCTGGAAGCTTTTGTGAAGAAAACATATATCTATGTTGTTTCATTGATAAAAAGGTTAGTAGAGCTATGAATTGTTCATTATTAGAAGTAATATGAGTATATTTCTTCTGACTGTTTCAGATCCACCGACTGAGAGTGCACAGCAGGCCTCCACCACCTATAATCCTTGTAAGTAATGGTGTATCTGTAACGCATTACTATCGTAGTGTTATCATTAGCTTCTTTGAATGGCATGTTTAGAAGTTGGTGAATCAGATAAGGACAAACTTTATGGATGAACAACTTCTTTATTCCGATGATGCGACGTTTCGATACAGAGTCTTGTATGGTTGTCAAGCAAGTATGATCCTTATATGTTCTCATTAGTTGTTTCTATTTGTAATCAGAGAACTCGTATCAGTTGATGTTTGGACATGAACTACATTTTGTAAGTTGAATACACAAATATCTTTCTTGATTTCACAAGGGCTGAACGGGACAACTAGTGCCAGTACCGTCACGCCATGGTATAACAGGACCACATCCCCGTACACATCATGTAAGTAAAAGAAACTCTACTTGCCTGCATAAGCATATTCTAGTTACACTAACTAGCTACCTACTTTCGACAATTGATACTAAGCACAGTTTGAATGTCGTAACATTCTTTCCTTCTCATTTAGATCCAACGACAACGACTGGTGCTGCATTCTTGAATTCTTCATCAAGTCCTAACGCTGGTAGGTAAATATACATATACTATAAGATGTAATGTTTTAACAAGAATCCCTTATCACATACATGTTTTTGAGAAGACGAATATTCTTCTTTTTCTGGAATACCGTAAGGTCAAGAAACTTGTTAAAGTTGTGGATGTCAAAAGCATATTTAATATGATTTGTGAGGTAATTGCCACACCACAGTTTCAGTTAATGTCTTGAAATGTCGTTTACATTTGGTATTTAGTCATTATACCATGATGCATTATCTGGTGTATAGTTTCATCTGTATTCTATCACGTGATATTAATCTCAGAGTACCATTAATACACAGTTTAGGATACATATCGAAGTATTTCGCTTTCAGACTGTTCCCAAAATCTCACTGGTACATATGGAAGTTTTAGCAGCCCTGGAGCGGGGTCTTCGTACTCTCCCAATCTTGACTGCCTCTACACCATTCCTTCACCACCAGCAGGGAGCCAGATTGACATAACATTCCAGCTATTCCACTTGGAAGAACATTCTTCTTGCGGCTATGACTTTGTTAGCTTCTCTTACAACAGTCAGAAGATCTGCGGTCAGAAGTCCACACCTGTGTCATACTCCTGTACGTGAGCAGTATTATTGTCCGTTATGAGTGTTCACCTACACACCCTACATTTCCACATTTCTTTACAATACCTATTACCCCACAGTGTTGCAGAAAGTAAATCAAATATAAAACTCAAGGATTATCGATAACTGTCATTGATGGACATAGCCACTAACAGTAAAACAAAACGGTTAGATAAACGAGAGGGTTAGGGGTAACCTGTCAGTTGCCAAAAGTACATACATTATTAAGCGTTCTGTCATTTGAAGACGTATCTCAACCAATACGTCACCATAGAATGCATACCGTAGCAGGCAATGTTATTTGCTTTTCAAGTTCCGTGATTGTACCAAAATGGAAATAGTGATTAAAGCTTTCAGGTACATTGATATTCCCTGATATGAACGAAGTTGATCGTTCTGTTACAGTGACACCCCTTCTGTCAAATGTTACCTAACTTCCATTTAAAGTGATGTCCCCCCAACAGCTACCTTTCAGTCTCAGTGACATTCCCTTAACTCGTTGGACACGAGACACGAGACAGAAGAAGAAACCATGTAAACTGTCCATCACCTGTTTGTACTAATACAGGTAGTAATGGATTGATTGAAAACAACGTATTAGTAATGATAATCATTGTCTTGTAACGTGTTTTTTGAACTGCTGATGGTAAATATTGTCACAATCGCCTGCACAACTTAGTTGACATGGCCCGTATACATATGCGACAACACGTTCAACGTTTTAATGACGTATACGATTTGCCGTGGTTTGTGCAAAAGTAGCAAGATTTGCATGAAATATGTCAAATAGTTGAAAGGCATACTTCATTGTTTTCAGTTGTGTCACAGGAGAGGGACTTCAAGATACACTTCCACACTGACGGTTCAGCTGAATACCGTGGCTTTGTTGCAACATTTCTTATTCAAGAAAGTAAGTATTTCTAACTTTACAGCTATACATCAGTCTTTAGGAAGAGGTCGAGATGCCACCAGCAACCATGACCATGACAAACGTGCAACCAAATGTAACAAGATTTTATAATCTTCCAACCATGCGTTTCTTCTTAGCACTTTGTTGCGAATCAAAATCTCATGAAACATGATCAGAATATGGAGGTTAAGTGCACAGCTGTCTTTCTTGATTTCACCAGGGCTGGCCTGGACTACGAGTGTTAGTACTGCCACTCCATGGTATTACAGGACCACGTCCCCGTACACCTCCTGTAAGTAGAATAACTTATAATTACTACTATTGTAAAAATACAGTGTTAAAAACTAATCAGTCTTTCAAAAAAACAACAACAATGTGTTGTACAATACATGAAACTGCAGTAAAACAGAAAGCTCTCCGTAAACCAATGGTCGTGTGGCGATGTAAGTGAAATATACCACATACATGAACCGACATTGAAACAATGTTAGAATATGGCGCCAGATGTAGTCATTCAGGCACCATTATTCTGATGTGGTTTGCACAAGGGGATCACAACATTTGAAACATAAGATCGTTATCATCGATATATATACTCACACGCAAAAGAAACGCAAGTTTCTTACTCAAAGGAGGAATTAAAATCAGACCCCTAAAATTATAACAACGTTGGTAAATAATGATGGTTGATGGTGTTGTTTACATTTTCTGTTGCGTTTTGCAAAGCCAGTGTGGGAACAGAAGAAAAAACGAATCGCCAGAATGCACCGCTTCAATGGCGATGTGGGCATCATGCACACTTTCCTCATGCAATCAAACATGCACGAGTTGTCACCATCTTCAGTGGGTATAAAACTGAGCTAAAATCTTTGGGCAGTCACTCTTTGTTCAACAATGCCACGTTTAAATCAACTTAAGAGGAACCAGGCTATCGGACGGTTGGAAGCTGGAGAGTCTGTCCAAGATGTTGCCCGTCACTTTAATGTCAATATAACCACGATCTACCGTCTCCAGCATCGATACAACACAACGCAGACTACAGATGACCTTCCCCGAAGCGGCCGACCTAGGGTCACCACCCCTCGACAAGATCGACACATTACACGTCAACACCAGCGAGATCCTTTCCTGACAGCAAGCCAGACTGCTCGAGACACCATAGGAACGCATAATCGACGCATCAGCCGTGACACTGTCATCCGACGTCAGCGTTCCAACAACCTACCATGTCGCCGACCAGCACGTCGTCCTTTCCTCCAACCACGGCATCGACAAGCACGATTTCAGTGGGCACAGGGTCATCAAAACTGGCGTCAACGTGAATGGAGACGTGCCATATTCTCTGATGAGAGTCGGTTTTGTGTGTCACATGCAGATGGAAGGGTCAGAGTTTGGCAACGTCAAGGAGATCGTTTTGCTGACAGAAATGTTTTGGAAAGGGATGCATGGGGTGGACCTAGTGTCATGATTTGGGCCGGAATTGGACTTAATGCGAGACTTGAACCAATGTGCTTCCAGAATGTGGGTCAAGGTCGAGGACATGGGGTCACAGCTCAGCGTTACATTGACCAAGTCATCAGACCCCATGTTGTTCCATTTTTCGCCCAACATCGTAACCACCTTTTCCAGCAGGATAACGCTCGTCCACATGTTGCAAGAGTTACCATGGACTTTCTTCAACATCACAACATCCGTGTCCTACCGTGGCCAGCTCTCAGCCCTGACCTGAACCCAATCGAGCACTTGTGGGATGAGGTTCAAAGGCGCCTGAATGAAGTGCGACCAGTGCCTACAACTGCTGATGAACTTCGTACAGCTGTTCTGGATGTGTGCAGGAGGATCCCCAGGGCCTTTACGAATCGTCTGATCCACTCCATGTACAGGAGATGTGTTGCAGTGATCAATGCTAATGGTGGCCACACCAGGTATTGAATGACGTCATGGCAAGTGACTAGAATCTGCGCAACTCTTTTGCTGTCACAAAATGTAATGACGTCATCTGTTTTTGTTGCCAATGAACTGTTCTTGCTCAAATTTCTGAATATCTGACGCTGTTGGTATTTGTATTCTATACTGTAAAAAAATAAGTACGTATATACTTTATACTAGACTTGCGTTTCTTTTGCGTGTGAGTTTAGATACATGTGAGGCACAGGTTATGTATCACGATTGTCAAAGCTGGAAGCATTCGTGAAGGAAACACATATAAAACAACGATATCCCGACTTTGGAGCCGCTACAACAACTTCAATTTGACCAACGATCGCCCGAGAAGTGGAAGGCCAAGAATCACGACCCCCTTCAAGATCGGTACATCCGGGTCCATCACCTGCGTAATCGGCATGCCCTACCAACCGTGACTGCCACACAAATACCAGGTTTGAGGAGAGTGTCAGCTCAAACGATTAGGAACCGTCTGAAAGAAGCGGGTTTACGTGCCTGTAGACCAGTTGTTGGACCTGTACTACGCCCCTACATGGACGCCGACGACTCAGGTGGTGCAACAACGTAAGGATACGGACTTTACAAAACTGGAGGCGAATCTGGTTTCTGATGAATCACGTTTTCTTTTGCAACGTCACGACGGAAGACAGCGTCTGTATAGGAGACATCATAAACGTTTTGCGCCCATCTGCGTCCGACAGGTGGACAGATTTGGCGGAGAAAGCGTCATGGTTTGGGGAACCATCTCATACAACCAGAAATCAGACTTGGTGATCGTTCCAGGGAACCTGACAGCCCAACGTTACATCAACCACGTGTTAGAGCTTCACCTTCTCCCGATTATTGACCAACAGACACAGATTTTTCAACGGGACAACGCCCGGCCTCATACTGCACGTGCAACAATGAACTTTCTGCAGAATTCCAACGTCAATGTCTTGCCATGACCCTCTAAATCACCAGACCTCAACCCTATTGAACACCTGTGGGATACTCTGGATCGACGCGTACGTCAACGTCAGCCGCCGCCACAGACGCTGCAACAGCTCGCCGTTGCACTGCAGGAGGAGTGGAGAGCCATTCCCCAGGAAAGAATCCGGCGTCTTATCCGTTCTTGTCCAAGGAGATGCCGTGCAGTGATTGCAGCGCGTGGTGCTCATACGAGATACTGAGACAGACGCCCCCCTGGTGACCAACTGGTGTCTGTGAGATGACTTTTGAAATGACAATTTTAAACATGCCCATCTGGGTTATTATTCTGCCAAATTTCAGACTTCTGTCTTAACTAATAAAAATGCCGTGTCGTCCTAAAACTTCAGATCAAAATCTCTAAAATACAGGGGTTGCGTTTCTTTTTTGACAGAGTTTATCTATGTTGCTTCAATGATAAAATGATTGTACAGCTAATACTTTTATTGGCCTATGAATTGTCCATTGTTAAAAGTAATATGATTATATTTCTCCCCTTACTGTTTCAGATCCACCGACCGGGAGTGCACAGCAGCCCTCCACCACCTATAATCCTTGTACGTAATGCTGTATGTATAGCGCATTATTATCGTAGTGTTCCCGGGATTATAATGTTATTTCCATTTGCAATCAGAGAGCTCGTATGAGTTGCTGTTTGGACATGAACTACATTTTTTAGATTGAATACACAAATATCTTTCTTGATTTCAAAAGGGCTGAACTGGACAACTGGTGCTAGTACCGTCACGCCATGGTATAACAGGACCACATCCCAGAACACATCATGTAAGTTAAAGAAACGAAGCACAACAGGATAATGGCTTGTTAGAAATGTCAGGAAGCACAACAGGATAATGGCTTGTTAGAAATGTCAGGAAGCACAACAGGAAAATGGCTTGTCCAGAAATGTCAAGAATTTGAAAGGATAATGGCTTGTTAGAAATCAAGAAATGTGGGCCTACGTCCAGAATTGTCATATTTGAAAACATATTTGAATCCATGTGCAATACACATTTATGTAATTGTGAACTTTGTTATGTGAACGTTCTGTGTCATGTGAACGTTGTATGTTATGTGAACGTTTGTGTTATGTGAACGTTGTATGTTATGTGAACTTTCTGTGTTATTTGAACGTCGTATGTTATGTGAACCTTCTGTTTTATGTGAACGTTGTGTGTTATTTGAACGTGAACCTTCTGTGTTATGTGAACGTTGTATGATATGTGAACGTTCTGTGTTATGTGAACGTATGTGTGTTATGTGAACGTTCATGATATGTGTGTTATGTGAACGTTGTATGTGAAAGCTGTATGTTATGTGAACGTTGTATGTTATGTGAACGTTGTATGATATGTGAACGTTGCATGATATGTGAACGTTGTATGATATGTGAACGTTGTGATATTATGTATGATATGTGAACGTTGTATGTTATATGAAAGCTGTATGTTATGTGAACGTTGTATGTTATGTGAACGTTCTGTGTTATGTGAACGTTGTATGTTGAACGTTGTATGTGTGAACGTTGTATGATATGGGAACGTTGTATGATATGTGACCGTTCTGTGTGTCCAGTCAGCTGTAACCGGACCTACACAACAGACGAGGGCATCATAGAGAGCACCCCAGGGAATGGCTCCTACTACCCCAACAACGCCTACTGTACGTACACTGTACAGGGCAACTCCACCCGGCAGACACTGCAGTTCACCGTACAGACCTTCTCCCTCGAGTATCACTCCAGCTGCTACTACGACTCGTTACAGTTGGGTTCGACCTCCAGCAGGAAGTACTGCGGATCATCTCTGTCCACCGGCAGGGTTCTCACATGTGAGAGTTACACTATATTTTGTTCGGATTTGGTGTTTACAGTTTTTAACTTAAAAATCTACAACACCAACTGCAGCTTATCATATGAGTGTAGAGGAGAACTTTGCATGCTGTTTGCGTGAGTGTGTATAAAGTTTTATGGCACTTTTATATTTCCAGCAATATCACAGGGGCTGGTCTTCAATTATTGTACCCATGTTGGGAATCGAACCAGGGTCTTTTCAGCGTGACGCGTGAACGCTTCAATTACTCGGTTACCATTTCTAGGTTCTATGAAAATGAATATATTTAGAAGCCTTTCTCAAAGTATCGATACCATTTCGTCCACAGATACGTTCACAAACACCTTCACCTTGTACTTCAAGACAGATGGCAGCGTTACCAGGAGAGGATTTGTTATCACCTACAGAAGGTTGCCGTGTAAGTGGTTGCTCTTTAAAATATTACCCCAGTGTAAAGGCACGCACATTAGTTGCCTGCTTACTTCTGAACAGTATTATGAACGGTGTATTCAAGGGATTTTCAAAGAAGTTCAGTGATCTTTATACCTTGAAGTTGGGGCTTAATTGTATTGACACGCAGGTAGAATATGATTATGGAAATGTTTAGGTAGTAATATAAATGTATTACTAATATTATAAAGTGTTAACTTTTTATACTTCACAGACAAATGTAGGTTGAAATGTGACGATGTCGATGCATCTTCCAAAGAAGATCAGATTCTCATTTCGAAAGCTATTTACACCTCTTTGATGATGTTTTTTTCAGATGTTCCCCCAACCACCACAACCATGGCAACAACTACAACAACAACGAGGCCGCCAATACGTACGTTCGCATAACACAATCTTGTAAACATGACACCGTCGACACGCCGACAGCAGGTCTTGTGACGATGTTTCTTCAAATAGATACCCACTTTAGTATATTGGTTTTGTTTTGAAGCATTATAGAATATTATGCTTGGAATAGCATTACCAGAAAGTCGGGTAAGGCTAGTTTTATTAGATTGCTGTCTAGCATATTTGTGTCATCGTAAAAAAACCGTTCAGGTAGTTGCTCAAGCTCTCGTCCATTGGTTTGCTTGGTTCCGACTCGAGTAGCTAGCAGCCGCAGTGCCATAGTTGGAACATTGCCGAAATGGCAATAACAACAATGTCGCCACACCTACTTATCGGGGACCTGTATTGAGGTAACATGTTTTCTCAGCTGACGATCACGTGTAAAAAACATGAGCTTATTAAAATGAAGCGTGCAATAGAATTATGACGTAGTGAGTGGGTTCGGGTAACGCTGGTTTCACCACAATTCCAGCTATATCAAGCCGTGAAGAAGGATAACAATCTACTGTTGAACAACTTCTTTATAATGTACTAAGGAAAGATAACAATCTACGAATCAACAACTTCTTTATTATGTAATCAGGAAGGATAACAATCTACGGTTGAACAACTTCTTTATTATGTAATCAGGAAGGATAACAATCTATGGATGAACAACTTCTTCATTATGTATCTTCATTATGTAAAATGAAGGATAACAATCTACGGTTGAACAAACTTCATTATTATGTAATAAGGAAAGATAACAATCTACGAATGAACAACTTCTATATTATGTAATAAGGAAGGATAGCAATCTATGGATGAACAGCATCTTTATTATATAATAATGAAAGATAACAATCAACGGATGAACAACTTCTTTATTATGTGATAAGGAAGGATAACAATCTACGGATCAACAACTCCTTTATTATATAATGATGAAAGATAACAATCAGCGGATGAACAACTTCTTTATTATGTAATAAGGAAGGATAACAATCTACGGATGAACAACTTCTTTATTATGTAATAAGGAAAGATAACAATCTACGGATGAACAACTTATTTATTATGTAATAAGGAAAGATAACAATCTACGGATGAACAACTTCTTTATTATGTAATAAGGAAAGACGGCAATACAGGATGAACAACTTCTTTATTATGTAATAAGGAAGGATAACAATCTACGGATGAACAACTTCTTTATTATGTAATAAGGAAAGATAGCAACCTACGGTTGAACAACTTCTTTATTATGTAATAAGGAAGGATAACAATCTACGGATGAACAACTTCTTTATTATGTAATATGGAAAGATAACAACTTCGGAAGAAAACCTTCTTTGTTATGTAACAAGGAAGGATAGCGATCTATGGATGAACAACTTCTTTATTATGTAATAAGGAATGATAACAATCTATGGATGAACAACTTCTTTATTATGCAAAAAGGAAAGATAACAATACATGATGAACAACGTCTTTATTATGTTATAAGGAAGGATAACAATCTACGGTTGAACAACTTCTTATTTTGTATTAAGGAAGGATAACAATCTACGGATAAACAACTTCTTTATTATGTAATATGGAAAGATAACAATCTACGAATGAACAACTTCTTTAGTATGTAATATGAAAAGATAACAATCTATGTATGAACAACTTCCTTATTATGTAATAAGGAAAGACAACAATACATGATAAACAGCTTCTTTATTATGTAATAAGGAAAAATAACAATCAACGGTTGAACAACTTCTTTATTATGTAATAAGGAAAGATAACAATCTACGGATGAACAACTTCTTTATTATGCAATAAGGAAAGATAACAATACATGATGAACAACTTCTTTATTATGTAATAAGGAAAGATAACAATCTACGGATGAACAACTTCTTTATTATGTAATAAGGAAGGATAACAATCTACGGATGAACAACTTCTTTATTATGTAATAAGGAAGGATAACAATCTATGGATGAACAACTTCTTTATTATGTAATAAGGAAAGATAACAATCTACGGATGAACAACTTCTTTATTATGTAATAAGGAAGGATAACAATCTATGGATGAACAACTTCTTTATTATGTAATAAGGAAAGATAACAATCTACGGATGAACAACTTCTTTATTATGTAATAAGGAAGGATAACAATCTACGGATGAACAACTTCTTTATTATGCAATAAGGAAAGATAACAATACATGATGAACAACGTCTTTATTATGTAATGAGGAAAGATAACAATCTACGGTTGAACAACTTCTTTATTATGTAATAAGGAAGGATAACAATCTACGGATGAACAACTTCTTTATTATGTAATAAGGAAGGATAACAATCTGTGGATGAACAACTTCTTTTTTATGTAATAAGGAAGGATAACAATCTACGGATGAACAACTTCTTTATTATGTAATAAGGAAAGATAACAATCTACGGATGAACAACTTCTTTAATATGTAATAAGGAAAGATAACAATCTACGGATGAACAACTTCTTTATTATGTAATAAGGAAGGATAACAATCTACGGATGAACAGTTTCTTTATTATGTAATAAGGAAGGATAACAATCTATGGATGAACAACTTCTTTATTATGTAATAAGGAAGGATAACAATCTACGGATGAACAACTTCTTTAGTTTGTAATAAGGAAGGATAACAATCTATGGATGAACAACTTGTTTATTATGTAATAAGGAAGGATAACAATCTACGGATGAACAACTTCTTTATTATGTAATAAGGAAGGATAACAATCTGTGGATGAACAACTTCTTTTTCATGTAATAAGCAAAGATGACAATCTACGAATGAACAACTTCTTTATTATGTAATAAGGAAAAATAACAATTTACAGATGAACAACCTCTGTCTTACACAATAAAGAAGTTGATCATTGTTATCCTTCCTTACTACTCCAAGTTCTAAATGATTCCGAAAGAAGACATCAAGGCGTGTTACCTTGATTGGAGAGGAAACCCCCAAGTGATTCAGGTTTCAGACATTCACTTTGTTGAAATCAACTTGCACCGGTATGGTGCTGAAAAACCTTGAAACAAAATCGGGGCAAACTGGGGTTCGAACCAGCGATCATACATCACTGTATATCCAAGGGAAGCAACTCTGCAGAGCGTGTTACGACCTGCCACCCGTGCGCCCTTATGTATTAGGATAATGTAGTTTTTACATCGATGAAGGTGTAATATATATAATCATGATAACAATAGTGTGATGTGTGTGAGGATATGTTCAGTTGTTCTGTAGCCATAGCTACTCTGGTGGTTGTCATGCTGACGTACTTTTGTCATTCTGTATTTCAGCCAACTGTAATGCGACGTTCACCGCAGCCAGCGGCCAGCTTCGTAGTCCAAACTCCCCCCACAACTACCCCAACAACGTCTACTGCCGCTACACGTTTGTGGGAAGCGGACAGACCCAGTCTATAAGTCTGGACTTCACCAGCTTTGCTGTGGAAAACCACGCTAGCTGCAGATGGGACTGGGTCATCATCAACGGTGGGAACAAGAGATGTGGCTTCACGGAATTCACCAGGACCTGTACGTACTGTGATGAATATACATACCTTGCTGGTTATCGTTACTTCAGATGTAGTGTCGATCTGTTCAAGGGTCTAATCTCTGTACAATCCGTAGTCGTCACGGGTTTCGACTTTGTAAGTCAATTACACATGTTATATATAGATATTCCAAATAGTTTCTTAGTCAACAACTTTATGAAACATTTGTTCATATTAAATGTCATAGAAAAATTATCATGATTAAATTGGCTCAGACACATTTTCTTATTATTTTACAGATACCTTTGTTGGGAACTTTACTGTTGAATTCCGAACAGATGGAAGTGTCACCTCCGATGGTTTTGTAGCTAACTACGTTGTCAGTGACGGTATGTACAGAGGATCGAACTGCTATATACAACATGTTCAGGACTCCACTCCATGATATCCGATCATTATTCAATTATTGAAATATTAGAGATAAGGTGGTAAATTGTTTGATCGAGACAGTATGGTTATTTGAAGAGATGCGAGGTAGTCTTGTTCTCAAATGAGGCATTCGTGTGTTTCAGCTCCAAACGCTACAACGCCCGCTCCCAGCAGTACAGGTAAGGTCACTGTTTACTGTCACAATGATGTTTTAAAATATATGCAGGGAAATTTAGACTATTGGTTTAAGCAAACATCAATTATTGAATCAATTCATCTATTGTTCCAGCGACATGCACGGCAACCTTGTCGTCATCATCTGGCACCATCATGAGTCCCCCAGGTGGCGGCAGCAACTACTTGGACAACACCCGGTGCTACTACACGTTCACAGCGACATCCTACCCGAGAACCATTACCTTCACCTTCACAACCTTCCAGCTGGAAAGTCATTCCACCTGCAGATATGACTACGTCCAGTTTAACAGCGGCATCAAGAAATGTGGAACGATCTCCAATCTCGTGTGTAAGTTCTCCAGATCATCGCGGATCACATGTTTAAAGAATGTTTAAAGAAGGTCTTTACTTGTCAGTGATGCGTTATCATTTTCTCAGCTATTTTGCCCTTTTGCACAACGGTATAGTCACGACTGGCTGTTCTCAGACGTTGACATCTTATTATTCCTTGAACATACATTAGATAACGGAGAGGTTTAGATTAACCGCTAGAGCTGATAGGTCCGTCTCACAGGGCGACTGTAAAGCTGCCATAGTCATGGATTACTTGTATAAAGGAGTCAGTGAATCATTCCTGTTTTAGACAATCAAAACGGAAACCATACCAAGCGTGAGCTGTCAAAGGTGGCTGTGACATCTATACAATCTCAATAATATCCTGTTATGACCTCATGCGGTTGTCTTAGATTCCAGTACACTGATCTCTACCCCTCCAATCTAAACACTTTGTTCGCATATCACCTTAAACTTCATGAGTTGCTACAAGGCCAATTATCTAGATGGTCAACATCAGGATTCAACTGCTACACGTGATCTTATGTACAAGATTACAGCTGTATTACAGTATTTATTTAAGACGTTAAGGTCATATGCCATGTATGTGCTTTGTGTACGGAGCTGCAAAATAACACCCGGTACGCATGATGTAAGTCATATTAAAGTGTGCATGCTGGTATTTAAGTTTCTGAACAATACCAACTCCAGAAACGTTAGTTGGAATTATTAACAAAAACATGCATGCATTAAGTAGACAGCGATGTCGTATTACTATGCAACGCATGCTCCGCCAATTCACATTATCAGCCATTGAGGAAACAGTACTTTGTTAGTGGGAGTGGCCAAACCATGAACCACAAACCGCATTGCTTATGTTGCCCATCAAATACCAAGGAATCAATATTTATGCAACAATGTATATTCCTTTCATTGATACAACTGAAGAAACATATCTGACAGTCAGCTACTGGCATCACTTGTTGTCTTAAATATTTATTCAAAATCTACCCTGGCCGCAAAGTTGGTTGGCATTTGATACCATGGACTATATATCAAGTGAGCAACCATCTCTATGTTCTACAACTTTGTTTGTGATGTATTCCTGTGTGAAATTCCAGATACTGACACTATGTATAGCCAGTACCGTGTCACCTTCTACACTGACGGATCTGTGACTCGCCGTGGCTTCGTAGCCACCTACCAGATCAGCGATGGTAGGTATCATGTGTATTCTGACACCACTCTGTATTTGAACTTACTTCCTGCTGTGCATTAGAGCATCTCTCTGTCAGAAAATGATAGAAACATTTTGTAGACTAAATGCTTTTCAACATGTACACCATTTTTTTCCCCGTTCGTTTTAATTTCATTTGATATTTTGTACCACAGGGACTATATGGACATATTATACACATACATTTTCATAATTAACTGACTGAGTTTGGTTTTACGCCGTTTTTAGCAATATTCCAGCAACATCACGGCGGGGAACGCCAGAAATGGGCTTCACACATTGTACCCATGTGGGGATTCGAACCCGGGTCTTCGGCGTGACGAGCCAACGCTTTAACCACTAGGCTACCCCGTCTCCCCTTTTCCTTATTAACGGTTATCATGACACATGACATGCATTGTCCTTGGAGTAAGAAGGGACTGGATAGAGCTTGAATGTGCATGATATGCATGACACACGTCCTCCTGTAAAGTAATGACACCCATGTAATCGGCATCATGATAAGAACAATATTTTGATCGACTTTCGTTATCAACTTTGAAATATTTCTACATATGTTGTTAATCACCATTGTTCGTGACTTTCAATGATCAAACACGTTGAACTATTCGTCGCAAAGCGTTTTGTCTCAAAAGCTGCGATAATCGAAATGAAACGTTTTTGAATTCATGAAAAGAGATGGTTTGTTTAGCACTTTGTGTCTTTTACATTCAAACTGTTCCTCTTCATGACCTTTGCTTCTGAAGATCAACAGTACAAAAACACCTTCTGCAAGTCGTTGGTCAGAGCGACAAAGTGAAGGTTTTCGTTGACTAAGTTATGAACAAATTAAAATTGCTCATTGTTCAAATTTCAGTCATTAATGCAGCAAGCACCATCCCTCCCAGCACGGTTCCATCAAACAACGGTGAGTGATGACCTTGACAATGTCCCTAAGGGCCGTGATCATCTGGGTCTGAGTTTTCATCTCTTGTAAAGATTCGCAAGACTGGTACAGTACAAAATGGGTGTAGCACTTACTGAATTTACTTCCTGAATCTCTGCAGGCAGGATGAGTCTTGTTAATGTGTTGCAGCTGTCACCGTTGTAATTTTATAATAACGACGTCGTTCTAATCCATCCTAGTGAAAAAGTATGAAAATAAATCTTGTAGATGTACATAACGTGTGTAGTTTAGTCTTCATTAAACTTATAGTTGAGTCACATCTGAAACCCTTTGACAGCACATTAAGTGGACACAAATAACTACAACATTATAATAGCAGTCTCAAGTACATGGTCACCTTAGGTTATACTCTACTCTTCTTTGCCTATGGCCATTGCAATTTGTCACTTAAGAGAAAGCATAGACGGAAGTGTGCCTTAAGGTTTCATTGAAGTTCATCAAACCAACAAACGGTTTCTTGTCCAGGCATCTGTGGCACTACCTTGACGTCTTCCACGGGTCGCATCTACTACCCAGCCACCGCCACCTACAACAACAACGTCCGATGCCAGGTGACCATCAGACCTGGGGCTGGACAGACGTTCAACGTCACCTTCACAGACTTCGACATCGAGAATCAGTCCTCCTGCAGCTACGACTCTCTAGTATTCCGGGTGAACGGAGTCGACTCTAACAAGTACTGTGGTCGCAACAGAGCTGGACTCACTCTAAACTGTACGTAGTTCGTTTCTGAGTACGGGATTTCTTTTCACGTTTGTACCTGCAGATCATACCTGTTAAATGCATTAATTATTTTGCTTTTGCTAACAGTGTGACTGTAAAATAAGGAAAGTACTCCGTGTGTACATTGTACAGAATAAGTGTTAACCTCACTGCTGTCCGTGTAAATATAAGAACAGGACAATATCAACCCTGCTTCAAAAGAGAGATAGTCAAATATGATGTTGCTTTAATTAAATCAGCCCAAGTGTGGAACTTATCAAGGTGAACATGTTTTCAACTGTTGCAGTCCCCTACACCAGTGGTGACATCGTGGTTGACTTCAGAACTGATGGCAGCGTCACTGGGAGAGGCTTTGACCTCAACTTTCAAGTGGCCTAGGGTAAGGTGACAGTATGTGTGAATGAAATACTGTATTTTACCACTGTTTGAAAGTAACTCAAAATGAGTCCTTTTGGTTGGACACAAGGGTCACTGTAAAGTTCCGTAATTTTCCGTAAGTTTGCAGATAGTCAATATTCCCGGACATTGACAAATGGGAGTGTCTTTAATTTGCAGTACCTGTCGAATTGTGCTTAAATTTATCGTTTTAGACGTGTATCAACGATTCAGTAATCCACATTTGATAGTTGGTGTAAGTAGTGACGCTAATACATTCTTATGTAAATTTGAGCGCTGCGGCCATACTTTGTCTTCAAAACCCCACGGTGCTTAAATAGGGTAAATTGACCTAAAACCACCCGTTTAACAACAGAGCCAGCGACGATCCTCCCATACTGGGCTTACACGACCTGATATATCTGAAAAGGAATGTTAAAGCGACGTAAAGCACGAATCAGTCTGTATATGAGTTACATCCATGCCTGAGACCTTTATTTTGGTTTATGTAAATACATAACATTCTAATTCTTTCAGGAGGACAAGATGTGTTTTCCTGTCTGATGGCTGCCTCCAGAGTCGACTGTTTCCCGGTGTTGCTGCCACAAACTGCCACGTAGAAATAGTTTTTTTAGCTTTTCACTTTTCTTATTAGCAGCAGAATTTCTGCATTTGTTCATCGGACAAGTTAACGTATTGTTTGAATTTTAAGCAATCCGTAAATGCGCTGTAATGTTGCTGGAGTGGCTAATACTGGATGTCTGGTCCAGAAAACGGTTGTTTACCGCCTATAATGTGATAAGTTTTTCAGCTATCTATTCATTGATGATAGGGGGCGGTCGAGGAGCTTAGTGGTTGAAGCATTCACTCGTCACTTAGACGACCCGGATTCGATTCCCCACATAGGTACAATGCGTGAAGCCCATTTCTGGTGTCCCCCGCCGCGATATTGCTGGAATATTGCTACATGCGGGGTGAAGCGTTACTCACTCACCATCTGATGATACAGACTTATTATTCTGTTGCATTGACATTTTCTTGAGACCAGTCAATCAAGATTGTGTTTCACGAATATTGATGAGACGAGTCAGTCAGTCAAGGTGGTGTTTCACGAGTATTGGTGAGACGAATCAGTCAGTCAAAGTCGTGTTTCACGCGTATTGGTGAGACGAGTCAGTCAGTCAAGGTCATGTTTCACGAGTATTGGTGAGACGAATCAGTCAGTCAAGGTCGTGTTTCACGAGTATTGGTGAGACGAGTCACTCAGTCAAGGTCGTGTTTCATGAGTATTGATGAAACAAGACAGCATACAAGACGCACACCATCAACCATCCAGAGTTAACATATGCACCACTAACGCCGGTCTGATAGCAATTAACATATGTAAACTATCCATATTTAATCAGAAATGCAGATATCTATAATGGCTGACCCTTTATTTGCTTTTGGTTTTGTCATAGCTTATATTTGATATACAAATGTATGTAAACTGACGCTTTGCTTGTTTCTCTAAATTGCAAATCCACGATTTACTTTTTCCTTAAAGTCAGGCATATTTCTTATTTTCCATTATAGAATGAGTGAGTTTGTTAATTCATACTTATATCGTGGCAGTAATTCTTCTCGTGTTACTTTAAGAATTCCGTTCTATTGGGTTTTCAAGTTCCCCTTGTTACACAAACTATCAGTGATCATTAGTTCTTTCTACCAAAGTTTCACTTTCATTACTTGAATCCTGAGAATTATGTTAACCTCTTAATGAACTTGAATGAGATTGGAAGAACATACTTTTCATGGAGCGATATTTTAGGTTAAGTTTGTAAACAGTTACTCATGTATTTTCCACACATATATATCTCATGTGCCATATGGATGTACTTATAGCATGTCCAGGACTCCCAAGTTCCACTCTAACGCTTCATGGTTTGTGTCCAGTATGTAACTATCGCTGTGATGGATGATTCACATCAGCCCTGATGCCAAGTTTGCTACACTATCACAGGCAGATTGTGGAGCTATTTCGAATATATGTTACAGTCAGATTGTGAAATCAGTCATTTCGTGGAATGACCAAAAATTTCAGTAATTTCGTGAAAAGACTAAGAGTGTCAGCCATGTCGCTGGATAGCAGTATATCAGGATCACTTAACTAAGTTTTGCCTATTGAGACCACAGACAACTAAAAGGGCTGCTGAAGTAGCGTTCCGTTTAGTTGAAATTTTCTTGACGATAGGTGCCCCAGAGATCCTCCAATCTGATAATGGATCAGGGTTCACGTCTCATGTTATGACAAAATTCAACTCGTCTGGCTAGAACTAGCACGAGTACATGGTACGCCAAGCCATGCCCAAAAGCAAGGATCAGTTGAAAGGGCAAATGGCGACATAAAGGACATGCTGGTAGTGTGGATGAGTGATAAAAAGACTAAAGACTGGCGACATCTTATTCATTTCACGAAATGTCATTTCACAATCTGACTGTAACATGTATTCACCACATTGTCAATGGGCAATCAGTATATCAATGGAAGCTTATCATACGGTGATATTTCACTCTCGTCATTATTCCGATACTTTGCTATTGTTGATGTTTATATATTTGTTGTTCACATTTTAAGGACCTAGTTGACAGAAATTTGACAACAGTGTTTTCTCCTTAATCATTGATGATTTTTATTCTGTATTGTGCAGCTATTTCCGTTTTATTACAATAAACACGTGCTTCAACCCAATGTATTGCTTCCATGTTCGCGTACATGTATAGTTAACCTAACTACGGTATTTCGGTTTGAATATCACGCATCCAGTGTTACAGCAAAACATACCAGGTAACTGAAGGGGTTCAGGTTGGCTTGGGTACATCTAGGAAGTGTCAAGAGTAGGGGCCTTCTTGTTGGTGTACAGGCTGATAGGGATTCATTATCATATTTATCAGAATATATATCTTTTATTAATATCTCGTACATGTAGTTGACCGTAGTGCTGGATGAACGTAGTAGACCGTAGCTGACCTTAGTTAAACGTAGTTAGATGTAATTAAGCGGAGTTCAACGTAGATCACCGTTACGACCGCACTTTGAACTAGTAAACCCATGAAAATATATCTGAGGTTAGCTTTAATGCCACATACACTGAACTGGTGCTCTTGCCTTACCTAAATGGTTCTTATGAGTTAACAAAAGCAGAATAGAAAATAGTATTAGTGTTCCAAACCACTGTGCATCCTAACCAAAATCACGGGTAAAGCAAATTGTTACGATACTCATGATAGGTTGCAGTAGTTTTCAAAACAGGCTGGATATGTGATACTGCCTTACGCTTGAAGTAGACAATCTCCATGTTTCAATTGCCATACACACATATTTCAGTAAAATTTCAATTTCAGTAAACAGTGAGAAACAGTTTTTGCCTAAACTTGTAAAAACATTACTTATATTTTCTGTTTATTTATTAACTTTTTGTCGAGAACTAGCTGAAGTTCCTAGAAAAGTATCTGTACCATGTCAATATTATACAAGGGAATGAGCAAAAATATAACCAGGGAAAATATATATATATATTGGAGTCAAACCCACCACCACAGGTTTCTAATGGACGTAGCTCAGACGACTGTACCAACTCGTCCCCCCAATGTGTTAGAGGACGTCGCACCGGTGCTGCCAGCAATGTTTCACACGACATAGTAACAGTTATATGACGCAGCATCACGATCACGAGGGTTGTTGTGACAATCGGAAACTCAAACTGGATTTGGATGTATTGATATTCATTGTTTATCTGTCCATGAAATCGATCTAGCTGTCGTGACATTCCACGTGCGTCCTGGGTTCACACATGATGTGAAAGAGCAGTTTTCACAGACAACCTGATAATAACTAATGACTCCAAACGGGTTCTTTTCGTTCACCCAGCAGCATAAGGGGATTAACATTTATGCTTGATTGATTGTCCAAATACTGTTCTTCACCGTGACATATGGTCCTGCCAGTTGGAAGATTAGTGACCACAACTCACTGATTGGCTAAGTGAACTGTATGCCAAATGGTAGAGGAGGGCAATACTTATTAAAGGGTAGTAGATTTAGTATCAAGACAAGAAAAGCAACTTCTATCAATTCCTTCCACACACTATCTCTCTCTCTCTCTCTCTCTCTCTCTCTCTCTCTCTCTCTCTCTCTCTCTCTCTCTCTCTCTCTCTCACACACACACACACTCACTCACACACATTGAGAGCCATCCCTACATCTGCAAGAGGATAGACTTTTTCAAGAATTATCTCGATCCACTGATCAGGAAATCCAAAACAACAGCTGCTGAGTGAACGCTAATGAGGCCTTCAAAGTAACTTCAGGTTCATATATTCGTTCTCTCGTTTTACTACACTGTGTCAAGAACGGATCGCTAAACACTCGGATAATGTACAACATGCCTATGTGTATTCACCCACTGTTGTCCCTAACCGAACAATAGATATCGCAATCTTGCTTGTATATTAAACCATGCGTGTTAATGTGTCATATAAAACGTTGCAACACTGCGGGATTTCTGTCATGATAACCTACAAGCTATGTCCTTCGAGACCGCGCACGACAAAGAACTGAACAGTGATATGACCTGTCAGTATTTTCGGAAGACACGTCATCCTATCGACCTGTCTCCACTTGCACGGGAGCAACGTCACACCTGTCTATGCCCCAAACGATCTGTACATTCCAGAAGTAATTGAAAATATAGTCTTCTTTTCCATATACTATTGATTAATCCACATCAAATGGCATTCTTACGCAATTGTCCCACTTGTAAATACACAATGGATTTATCCATCATACACGTCAGTAGAACCGATGGCCTGAACTAATACCATCCATCGTTTCCAAAGTTTACAGTCTTTCACAGCGTACCCAGAAGCCCTGTTAATCACTGTTATCCCCAGCAGTATGGTAGCGGGAGAGGCGGTTGGGGCGGAGGGACGGGATGGGACGAAGAAAACGCAGGATTATTCCCTGACACTATATCTAGCTTTATGGACTGACTGGTTATACTCTACACATGGCACAGTACACACAACACACTAGACACTGCGTACCTCAAACTACACCCTGCACTGTTCACACTAGACACTACTTAATTAAACTACACACTGCATACTACACACTTCACCTTCACACTAGGCGACACGAAATACATAATATAGATGTCACATGACTACATGTCATTTTGACGACAAACGCTTCACTCTAAGCACGACATAAATGTTTGAACTGCACAGTCGTCCTTGATTTCTTGGAATTGCTTGAGTAGATAAGTACTGAGAAATTATCTCTACCGCTCCCCCCTCCTCCTCCCCCTCCTCGCCCCTCCCACCCAACACACACTCTTTACTGTTGTCGCGGCTACTTCCTGGTAAGAGATCAGGAGCTCATATAGCTACTGAACCATCACGTAACTTTCCACAGGGTATCTCCATGGGGTATTAAGTTTGAAGCAAAATTCAGCTTCGTCATACAATGTGGCGTGTTCATCATAGAACTGTAATAGTGCAAAGAAATCCATAGCAACCCTTGCCGTAAGAGGGCAGGCATTGTCCTGTTGGAAAACCCAGGGCCATGACGTTGCAGAAAAGGAATTGCCACAGGATGAAGAATCTGATCTCTGTAGCCCACACCAGTTAAGTTGCCCTGAACAATCACCAAAGGAGTTCTTTGGCATGCTGTTATTCCACCCCAAAGCATCACGGAACCACCACCAAAGCGATTCCTCTCCAAGACATTGCAGGCCTGTGCATAACGTTCTCCCACGCGTCTATAGGCACGTTGACGTCCATCACTATGGGAAATGTTAAACCTGGACTCATCTGTAAAAACAACATTTCTCCACCAAAACAAGGGTCTGCGGACATGATTTCCGGCACCACATTCGGCGAGCTTGTCGATGACGTTGTGTCAGGATAGGCCGTATGGCGGGACGTCGTGGTCTGATCCGTGATGACGTAAACGTTGTCGAACTGTGTTGGGGTGGATACGGCGAAGTCCTGGGATGGTTCGGGCAGTCATCACTACTGTCTGAAACCTGTGGCGAAGATGGGTCACCCTTATCCATCTGTCCTGTCTTGGCGTTGTTACACGTGGACGTCCAGAACGTGGCCGATCGATGACGTCATTTGTCTTCTGGTAGCGTCTCACCAGTACAGAAATGGTGTTCCGGTGGCAGTGGAAATGTGCAGCCACTTGTCGTTGAGACATTCCCCCACGGACCATCCCTATGGCCTCATGACGTTGAGCAGACGTGAGCCTTGGTATGCTATGCGTTTCAATAGCCGTTTAATTTTTTGAACGATCGCAAGGGCACGGGTTGAGCTTTCCAAAGTGACAGTATTGTGTGGAATTCATTTGCTCTGTTTCTCTTTCCCGGAATGCACGTGCAACAACGTATTGCACGTCTCAAGGACGAACCCACTGCCGTCACGGAACGTGGCACGTGCATGCATGTATGTCACTAATCTCTGAGTTTAAATCCTTATGTGTCTACACAGGTTTGATAACTGTAATAGTTAGTAATGCTGGTGTCAATGGTTGCCTAAATGTTACCTAAATGTTGTTAGAATAATTATGGTCAACAGGGTGATCAATCTGCGAATAATCCTTTCTCAGGATGATCTTCGTATTGATTAGTGTCAATTTGTCATATTGGCCGGCTGGACGTCACCACGCATAACACATCTCGTCGGAATGCACACGGAATGAACACTTGTGTAAGGTGCATGTGCACCTCAGTGAGCACACATGTGACATGACCGCCTCCGTGGTGTAGTGGTTAGAGCGTCCGCCCGGAGAGCGGAAGGTCGAGGGTTCGATCCCCAACCGCGTCATACCAAAAGACATTAAAATATGGTACTTGTTGGTCCCTGTCTGGCGCTCGGCATTAATGATTAAATCAAGGACTGGTCGGCTCGGAGTCAGTATAATTTGTCTGAGTTGGGTATTCATGCTTCACTGCGGCATGGTATCTCAGTGGGCTAGCACTATAAAACCAGCTTCAGTCTGGGCTAGTACAAGCAGCCGCACCTCACCTCACCTCACCTCACATGTGACATGAGTGTAATACGGGACAGTGTTTCAGTGCAACGTGACAAATAGCTCGATGAATAGTGAAGTAACAGATTTGACATTACGAATCAGTACACATCTGTAGCGGTTGCTCACAATCCTCAGTCTACAAGTTCGAGACCGATTTCTCAGAATTCCACTCTTCCTATAGCGATATGCTATATAAATGTATGCCTATGATAATTTCCCGTTTGCTCAGTGGCAAAACGTTCCTTTTCTGAACGATCATGATATCTGTGACAGACCTCAAGCAGACTACAACAAAGGGCGAGGCATGCGGTATTTCATGACGTCATCTGTTTTGGGGTGAAATTTCACACCATACCATCCCGCGTTTCAAAAGTGAGACACGATGAACAAAAGCATGTTGTATAGTCAAACCTACGATGTCTCACGTGTGAGTTAACTTATGCACAATGCTGTAAATGGATATTACCGAGTGCAGCGTGAAACATCAAAACAGACAAGTAGATTTAAACACCCGCATGTGTAGTATAAGATATAAGATTTGGCACAGCATATGCTTATTGCACAAGCTCTAGGACAATGAGGTGGTACGTCTAGCAGGGCGTGGAGTCACCCCACAGATGACATGCTTTCATTGCTGATGGGGTTAACCTCTTTGGT